CAAAATGTGTTGGACTACAACTCCCATCACCCTGAGCCAATGCAGTCACCATGCTGGCTGGGGATCCTATCTGGAAGACACCAGTTCATGAAGACCACCTTGGGCAAATTCATGGATGTTAAGCGAAATCAAAAATGGAACAGAGTCAACAAGTAGCTGATTCTGGGGCTGAATAATCCTCCCCTTTTCTTTGGAAACATATCAGTGGCCTGCATGGACCAACAACGTGGCACTTCTTGTCGCCTTGAAGGCAAATGACCCATTTAGCAAGCACTTAAGGCAAGTGAGGACTCAGGGAGGGGCCCCAAGCCCTGCTTTTCTTCCTGCCCCATTGCCAAGCACCCATACTGGGTGGACTAGTCGGGAGAAGTCCAATCCTTCATCAGCACCTTTTCAGGAGCAATCGGGTAGCCTTTTAGTTACCCCAGCCCAAGCCAAGGGGATACAGAAGGCTATAAATCATTTGCTTGAATTAATAAATGGAAGGATCTGTTTGCTCGTTACCTTTTCAAGGGCATTGGAAGTTATAACCGTCAGCAGCCAGGTTTCATATTTCTGGGGCACTGATGAATTTTTAATCTTATGTCCATCGCTTAATGTATTTTGGTACTCAGCTTTCCTAAGTGTCATGCAATGGCTAAACAATTCCAGGGCAGGCTATTTTGTTCATCCCACTGACAAAAGGAAGACAACAGAGCTTCCTCTAAACTCTTCGGAGTTAAGAAGGTTCCCGGTGTCTGCATCTGATTTTCATCTCGCGTTTCCATTTAGAGGTCAGGTCACTAACAGCTGGAGGAAGTGGTATCTCAACATGGTACCGCATCAGACAGTACCTACAGGGAAAGAAGGAGTGGTGTAGAATATCCCTTCCCTAGAAACCCACAAAACTGGCAGTGCTTCAAGATAGTTCTATTATGCCATCACCTGGCCTCATTCAGGGAATTTTATGGAGGGTCAGACATTGTCACTTTCAATGTGTCAGCTTCCCGTGGTTTCCCACTGCCTTTTCTGCCTTTTTTCTTACCACAGAAATCTCTTTAGGAGGAAAAAGATGGAAAAGCTGCTCAATGCCATCTAACTGGTAATGTTAGCAGCCCTTCCTCATCTGTCTTCCGAAAGCTGCGCCAGATAGTTTTGCTTCATGTTGGGGTCCAAGAATATAGGGAGTTGTGAGTTGAAGCTGATTTAATCAGGGCATATGGGAGCTTTGTGACTGTAGCTCCTTGTTACTTTTCCTGTGGCCAACAAATGTGGATAGAAGCCCAACTGCGCAACTCGTTTGATGGCGCGTCCTCCTTTCAGCACCATGAACAGCTCCAGGATCACGTACCTCCCTGTGAAAAAACGGGTTTTCACCTGCATCTGCTCAGGGGGCGTGCAAAGGAGTATGGAAGTGTGCGGAGGGCAGGAACAACGACAACATATGAGAAACGGTTTGTGTTTGTGTTTTGCCTTTGCATTTTGGAAACAGTTTCTCCTCATGCTCCGGCATCCAAGTACATTTATATTTTCCTTCTGTCCCACTTGGTGGATGTTGCTATAGTGACCCTTGGAATTGAAAGAAATGTTTTTGCTTTCCTGCCATCTACCTAAGTAGTTTTCTTTTAAGTCTTTCTAAATTGCACACAGCGGTATATTTGCACAACAATAGAAGAGCACATTCACCAGCATTTTCAAAAGCTTTCGTTGCCCATCAGGACATGGCTAGGTCCATTTCAGGCTGTCAGTGAAGAGTATATTGGATGGACTCCACTGGAAGAATGGTGAGGAGTTTATTAAGATTCAGCAGCTAGTGCAGCGAACAGTCAGTCCAGTGTCCAAGAGTTAGGACAGTTTCTTGAAGGCACACAAAGTTCTTATAGCTTTCAGCTTGTTAGGAAAAGCACCCAGGACAATGGCCTTGGAACTGTTTGTCTTACTGGAGCAACCTCTCCTCTCCTCTCCTCTCCTCTCCTCTCCTCTCCTCTCCTCTCCTCTCCTCATGCAAGGCATTTGCAGTTTCCCTGATGGATTTTGCCCAGCTCCAACAAAGCATCATTTACGGCAAGGGGGAAACTTGCGGCATTCTGTTGTTTGACTGTAATGCCTCTCAGCCCTAGGAATTTGCAGCCGCTGCAATAACTGAAGGGCCTTGGGGTGCCCAGTTCAGGGAATTCCTAGCCAAAAAATGCACCCATGCCCAGCTTAAGTAGAAGAGACATTTCTGGATGGCAGGTCTCCATCTCCCTGTAGCCTTTAGGCTGCAAGTGGAAACCTCTCCCTACATCTTGAAACCCTGGCTTTGAAATTACGAGCTGCATTGGCATGGGAGAGAAGCCCAACCATCCACTGAGGGCTGTTCAAAGGCTCCACACTGGTCCACGGAACGCGACACCCTGCTGGCGAAAGGCAAAATCCCATGCTAGCGTGCTTCGCTCCCGCAGATCAGTTGTAACTATATTTTAAGGTTACTGTGGACCCTAATTATTTGTTTTCACTTGTGAACTCCATCTAGTTTGACGATGAATTAGAATCTAACAATTTCTCACACTGCAGGAAGACAGAATGATGCATGAGGAGGCCGAGGCAAGTGAGTCATTCATTTTTAATACAAGAGAAACATATATCACCATGCTGAACAAAAGGCAGGATAATGAGGCTCCCAGGGGGGTGGGGTGGGGTGGGATGGGGGGATTACAGAATGCATTTGGGCTGCAGACTTCTCTGCTGAAAGAAGTTGAGTAATGCTTTTCATTGTTTTGCCAAAAATAACAAATGCTGCTCTACCAAGTGGGGTTCTTCTGAGTTCTTATTAGGAGTTAAACATCTGGAGTAAGCAGACCACTCACTACATTCCCTTGGATATGATGGACACCAGGAACCAAATGCCAGCAATGAAATGGTTGAAAGGCAGTACAAGGACCTGAACAACAGAAATTCTTTTGATTAATAGAAGCTAGTTGCTATGTCCAGGAAGAATCCAGTGTGCTGGCAATATTAACTTCATTCTATAAAACAAGCTTCTAGCCCTCAAGATACTAAACCAAAGGTGTGGAAGCTTAGGTCCAGGAGCAAATCTGCCTTTGCAAAGGGGTCCCTTCCACCTTCTTTTCCCTGACTGCGGATTGTTTCTAGTTTCCTAACATCTCTGTAGTTTTCTCACTGGCAAGAAGACGTTTCAGCTAAAATATGCTGCAGTTTTTGGTTTTCTGAGCCCCACCCCTTTCGCTTGTGCCAAAAGAGTCCCTTTTGTCTCCAGCTCTTCCCACCACTGGAATGTAGCCCTGAGCGTTTTTCCAAAGAGCAAGTTGTTCATCTCCCACGTTGAAAGTACAGGCAATGCTGAGAGAAGTTTCCGAGGTGGATGATGGAGCAGACTTGGCTTCCTCATTGTCCTTCCCCATGAGTAGGAAAACCAGAGGAAATTTAAAAGGGACGTGGCACAGCGCACTGGTCCAGGTCATGCTTGTGCACACAGACCCCATCACCACCCTGGCCAGCGTATTTCCTGCATCAAAGGATTTCCTGCGGCAAGTGGCGGGAAAGCCCCTTCACAGCCTGAAGCCCCAGAAGGTGCTGCCAAAGAGAGTTGACTGTTTTGCGATGGATAGATAGAAAGTGGTCTTGTTATGGCAGACGCCCTGAAAAAGCACTGGGAATGCGAAAGAGACGGGGCAAAGGGAAAAGGCACGTGGAATGTTTGTGTGTTGTAGAAGATTCTAGAATATGCTGTAGGCCAGGATTGGCAGAAGGGAGACCTGGCTGTCCTGGAATACCCCAGGGTGATCTATAGTAGGCTGGCAAGGATTTCTGACTCCTTGTTCAACGAGGGAAGCAACACAATTAGTTTTCCTCTCACCCTAATTATACAGTTGGAATGAAGAAAGCTTGGGGCGCTTAGGAGTGAATCTTTATGTGGAAGGACTGTGAACACCACTCAGATCTTGCATTCAGAGCAAACTGCTGGACCCTACTCACAAGTAGACACATAGAATCATAGAATAGTAGAGGTGGAAGGGGCCAGAGGGCCATCAGGTCCCAACCCCCTGCTCAGTGCGGGACTCTTGAGTTAAACCGTCCCTCTCAGAGGGCTGTCCAGTTGCATCTTGACTGCCTCCAGTGTGGGAGAGCCCACCACCTCCCCAGGTCTTGGGGTCCCTTGCTGTACTGCTCTGACGGTCAGGAAACTTTTCCTCATATTTAACTGGAATCTGACTTTCTGCAACTTGAGCCCATTTGTCCGTGTCCTGGAGGAATCTTCGAAGAGCATTTAAGCAGGACAAGACTCTGCAGTAAGCAGGATCAAATCATTCAGTGGCTTCTCCCCTCTCCTGTTCAGAGAAGAGCTTTTATCACCAATCAGCAGCTGACTGGGGAAAAATATTCTCCCTGCTGCTCTGACAAAGACTCTCTCACTGTATAGCAGGGAAAGCTCTTATCTCCATTCAGCTACTGCCTAGAGATAAGAAGGTTTTGCCTGTGGGGGAGAGGATGTAGTATTGGGAAAGAAGCTGGCAGGCCAGAACGGGAACCCTCTTGGGCCACAGGCTGGAGTTTCCCCATCCTTGGTCTGAGCTGAGCTAGTCTGGTCCATGCCTGGATCACCAGGGAACCGTTGTGTTTGCTGTCATAAATACCACAATGGAAGAAAGGCGGAATATTAACATATTAAGTAATAACATATATTCTAAAATCATTACTTTAAACATTTTCCTTGGTTCTGTATCCCACTTTTCAGCTCCAAGAGTCCCCAAAGTGATGAACAGACTATTAAAATACATGAGATTTTAATACATAACAGCATATAGTAAAACTGTTAGAAGGTTAATCTTGCAAGCTCCCTTGGGTTTCTCGCAAGAGAGGTGGGATATAAATGCCACGGAATAACAATGAGTACATGGGTTAACCAGCAATCACAACAATTTAAGAAAGATCTGCTTGCATAGCACGTCGGTGACTGTCTTTGGAGCAATATGCGCCGGCATCATAACCAGTCTCTTTGCTTTCTTCCCCTTTTCCAGCTGGTCGGCTTCGTCTATGCCTGTTACGTTGTCAGTGTTTTCACAGAAGAAGAAGACAGCTGTAAGTATTCACCCGTGCAAGTCCTGGGCGAGGGCTTCCAGCCAATGTCCCTCTTCTAAGAACATGTCTCATCATGACTGGTTTAGCTCCGAATTTTTGTTGCAGAACACTAACTAAACAGCTTCAAGATCTGTCTCGAAGAACATGGCATGTTATTTATGACATTCCTAACCCATTTTTTCTCCAAGGAGCTCAAGTCCGTCTACATGGTTCTTCCCCCTTTATCCTCGAAACAACTCTGTAAGATAAGTTAGGGTCAGAAAGAGAGGGGGAGAGAGAGACGGAGAGAAAGACGGAGAGACCCGATGTCATGGCTGAGCAGGGGTTTGACCCTTGGTAGTTACAGTCCACCTCTGATTCTACAGCACAATGATTCTTAGGAAGTGGAGTCAGTACCAACACTGGGCTGGACCTGCCTGATATTTAGCCTGTTGCAACCCTTTAGAAACAGAAACAGAGCGAGTCAGAAGGGACCTTCTGGGCCATCTAGTCTGAGCTCCACCACCAGCTGGCTCCGCTCACGACATGCCCACCATGTGGACATCCAGCCTATCCTTGAACACCCTCACTGATGGGGCCTCAACCTCCTCCTGTGGAAGCCCATTCCACACCCTCAGGGTCCTGACTGTCAGGAAGTGCTTCCTGGCATCTGAATGGAACCTTGGCTCCCTGAGTTTTGCTCCCTTGGAGCGCGTCCTGCCTTCCTCTGCAGGGGAGGACAGGTCTCTACCCACCTCCATGTGACACCCCCTCATATACCTGTATGTCGCCAAGAGATCCCCTCTGAGTCTCCTCCAGGCTGAAGAGACCCAGTTCCCTCAGTCTCGCCTCATACGGCATCCCCTGCAAACCGGCCACCAACCTTGTGGCCCTTTCTTCCTTCTTTCACATTCTCTTTTTTCTTTCTTTTCACTTTTGAAAACAAGTGTCCCCAAAATTAAACTTAGTTCAGATCCATACTCCAACTATACCCTGGAGTCTTTGGTTCCAAAGTGTGGCATGCAGATAATGCAAGATGCTGCTAAATGGTGCACCATTTAGAATGAGACCATTTAGGATCAGGTTTATTGTAAATGGAAATGAAAACTAAGAAAATAGCAAAACAATGAGTGATAGTTGTGTTGACTATATGAAGGGTTCCATCCAAAGTTGTTAGATCCCCCTCTTCCTCCTGCATCCTGTTCACCTACCCCCAAATGATCCCCAAAACTTTGGGAACTGACTTGGTGCGGGCAGCACCACCCACCTTGCACCCGAAGTTTTTTCTTCCACTTCTAACAGGTCTGCAGAAAAAGGACATGACAATGAAATTTTGGTTGTGTGCAAATTTGGTTGAATAACCTTCTGGGCACCAAGATTTAAGAAAGATGCAGGAAAATTAGGAAGGGTCCAGAGGAGGACAACAAAAATGGTCCAGGGTTTGGAAACACTGCCCTGTGAGGAGAGACTGAGGGAACTGGGCATGTCCGGCCTTGAGAAGAGAAAACTGAGAGGGGACATGGTACCCCAAAGAGGAAGGTCCAGATTTCTTCTTGTCAATGCCAGACTGTAGGAGACGGAATAATCCATTCAAGTTGCAACAACCCAGATTCAGGCTAGAGATCAAGAAAAGCTTCCTCACTGTCAGAGCAACACAACATGTTTCTTTCCAAAATTTTTCAACGCATTACATGTCCACCACATCTGGTAAAAAGTCCCACACAAGATGCATTTATACATACAAAAATGCAGCATATTCAGTAAAAGTATATTTTTTTCACATGTGGATATAGTTGGAGAAATCTGCATGGAAACACATGCTCGTTTTCATGCTGCCTTTTTTTAAATGTGAAATTTGCAAAATGCAGAAACAGGCCAAAATAAGCTTCTTATCAGGGAGATAAAAAAATTGAACCAACGTGATAGATTTGCTCATCCTGACCTACAATGGAAATGTACTAGGAGAGGTATACATGGAAAGAAGTCAATCGAAACATTCAAACTGGAATTCATATTCGCCAAGATGAGGTCTTCCCAACGGTGCAGATGTCTGTGCTCCTGCAGGAATCCAGACAACCCCCTGTCCCCCTTATGCAGAAAGAACCATAGCGGTTGCCCTGCACAAGCCAAAATGCACCTTGGAGAGGGGCAAAAAGGGAGGAGAGGAGGCTGTCTGGAAGGGGAAGAGAGGAAGAAGCTGAGGCTTCCCCCGATCCTTATCAGCATCCTGGCCTCTCCCCCTCCCTGGCACTTTGCCGAGCCCAGGGGTCGGCAACCTTAAACACTCAAAGAGCCATTTGGACCCGTTTCTCACAGAAAAGAAAACACCAGGAGCCACAAAACCCTTTTGACATCTAAAATGAAGATAACACTGCATATATCATTTTTACCTAAAAAAAACCCAGACTGGTAAACCAGTCCCGTCAGCATTGAAAGCAAATTTATCTGCCCATGCACCATTAAATGTTCTGTTTTCTTCTGAAAATTTCTTTTCTTGGATTTATCCATGGTTGGCCTACTGGGGGTCAAAAAGCTCAATAAATTGCGTGCTGGCGGGTGTCGCACATTGGCCGTTGTGACGCATACTTTGAGCGACAGGGAGCTGCAGCAGAGGGATGAAAGAGCCACATGCGGCTCCGGAGCCGCGGGTTGCTGACCCCTGGTATAGACAGCTGCAAACAGCTGTCCAAACATAATGCAGGCAACCAGGTGTAGCAGTGGTGGAGATTGACCCTGGAGCGCCTTCCTCTAGCGTGTAGGTCTCCGAGTTCAGAGGGACTTGAATTGCACCCCAAGAGCAAGCCTCATGCAGTGGTGCAGAATGCACGTCTTGGGAGACTAACCTTACAACCCCTCTGCTAGAAGCGCTTTGTCTTGACTGAACAGTTTATCGGCTGACTTGAGAAGTCTTGGGATCAGATCAGTAATCTGCACATAAGCAATATATTAAGCTGAAGTGCAGAAAGATAAATACTTATAGCCAGTTCAGTTGCTATAAGTATTTATTTCAAGAGGATTAGCACAGGAATACTGAAACCGGGGACTGCTCATCCTCCAGCAATCGCTCTTCGGAGTGATCCAAAAACTGTGTTTTTCACACAGATTTTATGAATCAAAGTTGCGTTGGACCTAACCTGTAGGTTTACAGCCCCCAAAATGTTTGTCATGGACAACCAGCTCTGTGTCTATTATCTTTCAACCAGCCAGGCAAAGATGGCTGTACTTAAGCAAAAACAGAGCTTCAAAAAAAATAATTTCCCCTTCCTAGCAGCAAAGCCATCCGTTGGCGGGGTGGTGTCCTTTCAGGAGTTCGCTTCCAGCAGAGGTGCTCAAGCTCTTGCGGCCCAAGGGCCAAATTCCTTGTGGGCTACATTGCATTGGTGCCCTAAGGATAGAAGGGGCATGGCCCAAACTGCCGGCACAATTTGGCTTCATGTTTTTCCTGCTGCGAGCTATGCCTAGGAGAGGAATTGCAGCCTTTCAGAATGGAAGCACGCCTGCACAAAATGTCAGGAGCCCGGTGAATGATCAGTCGCTGGCTGAGGGAAAGGGGTGGAGCTAAGGGAAGGGGCGTGGCTATGTAAGGGACCCAGGAGGCCTGGACCTGTTGCCTGGGCCCAAGGTTCTGCACCCCCTCCTGCACCCCCTCTATATTGTTGAAGAAGCCGTTGCTGCATAGGCATTGGCAGTACGGAAATGTCTCCCAGGGCTGTGCTGTCTGAGTCCACACTGGGAGCTGCAGGCCCTTTTCCTGTGGAAATGCCACTGGGTTGTGTCTTTAGTTATCCGCCTTTTCCGGAGCAAACCTACTGGTGGGCAGGAACTGGGAAACCCATTCCAGAGCTTCTGGCATTTCCAAAGCTCTACCAGCTTACCTGGCCTGGCTGGGAGGTGGACGGGAAGCCATCCTGCCCCTTGTTCTCCCCTCTGCTTTTGCCCCAAGCAGGGGGTGGGCTAGGCAGGAATGGATCCGGAGGGCACCAGGGTTGTGGAGGCTGCATTATGCCGACTGGCTTACTCCAGAGCAAGCACTGGAGTCAGCAAGAGAATCAGACTAATGGAGCCAACTCCCTCATTTTCCCCACTTTTAAGAATTTGGCTGTCCTTTGGTTAAAGTGTGGGCTTGTTTGTTTTATCAATGTGGCAACTTCTTAGCAAGGAAAGGGAAACCTGGTCCTAGTCATAAGGATCAGACTGAGTTAGCCAGGGAGGGGTGTGTGTGTGTGTGTGTGTGTCCACGCGTGCAGTAGTTTGGGCGTCAATGTTTGTGCATATCAAAAGAAAATTAAGTGAAATTGAAAGAAAAGATATGTTGTCACCAGGGCAGGAGCGATTTATGTGGAAATCTGGAGCAGTACATTTCAGGCCCCTTCTCCCCACCCTCTGCCAATCTTCCCCCTCCCTTGTGGGATTCCAAGCCCGGAATGCAAACCTCAGTAATTAACACTGACAAAGCATCAATATTTCACACTCTCCGCAGCGAGAGCTTTCTGAGTGATGTGAACCTCTTTGAGCTGCCTCTTAATTTTCACTCCCATTTGTTGGTTTCTTTGATATGGAGGATGAAGTTAGAAGCCAAGAGGCCTGTTGGGCAAGCAGTAACGTGATTCTCACACAGGGTGGGAGACAGACTTTGAGCAGACGAATTTAGTTTCTGTAATGGTCTCCTGCAGGAAAATGGGATCGTCCAGGAAGTTCCTGCTCCAGGTGCCGGCCGGCCAATCAGCTGTGCCCTTTGACATAACACTCCATTTCATTCCCCATCCCTAAGCCAGCCGGCATGCTCCAACTTCGTTCCATCGTCTTAAGGGTGGGCGTTCCCCTTGTTTTTTGCACTGGAAAGGTTGCTTGCCCTTCTGTGCACCCCAGGGGTTCCTGCAAGCAAGCCACTAACTCCGCTTCCCCCAGGTTCTCAGCCGCCTTGTTCCAGCATTATGGGAACAAAATGTGACAGTGCGGAATGTGCCTGATTAGGGCCTTTTCTCGGGATTTTCTCCCTCCCTGGTAGTCAGCATTCCACAGACACGGCCCATCCGCAGTCTCTGCTGAGCTGTTTTCTTATGAGCATAGCATCCCACTGCTGTCCTCTCCACTCAAGTTTTGTGCTTTATTTTGTGCTTCGGCAAAGCGCTGGGGTTCCAGGCACCAGTTGCTCTCTCGCCCCTCAATGTAGGGCTGTTTGAGTTACATCACGCAGACTGCTGAGTTTGCTATCGCTATATATGACGATGCACGGAGAATATGAACTCTGTTTGTGAACGTGCAATGCCAAGAAAGTTATGGATGCACCTTCTAGGGAAACACGGAGGCTATTTCTAGCATAAGGACGTGGATCGGTCTGTGTCTTGCGCATGACGGTTTTACATGCATGCGGCTGTAAGCCCATTCTGTCCTTTTGCTGAATGAGTCTACCACTTTTGAAAACAGAGGTATGCATAAAACAGAAGATGCATAAAAAGAGTGCATTCAAATTGAGCCTAATTCCCTTAAATTTCATTTTAAAGTAACAAATGTTGAGTCTTTATAAGTAATCTGGGAGCAGGAGGGGAAACAAGCCAGAGTAATCCCTGCTATGCCCAGCTTCTGTCCACAAGTTTCCCAAGGGAAGTCAATTTCCAAGAATTTCCGAGTGCTGAGATTTGACAAGATTCTGAGCACCTTCCTTTCTTTTTCCCCCTTTTGGCCCTTTTCACTCCCTTTTGCATTGTCTTCAGCTTTGACTTATGGTTTGCCATTCCGGCCATGCTTTGTTTTATTTTAATTACTCCATTGTTATTGCTTGAGTTTTGGATTCTCTTTCTTTCAGTTGATTTCATTGGTGGATTTGATCCTTTCCCTCTCTACCATGTCAATGAAAAGCCCTCCAACCTTTTGTTCAAGCAGACATACCTGTAAGTATGCCGTAGCCCCATTAGGTGGCCCTCTTGGGTCTTCTGGGCATCTGGTAATCTCAGACTAGGCCCCGGGTCACCAAGGAATTACACTGAGATTCATCTGTTGGAAGCCCCAAATTTACCTTGAAGTTTGCTTTGCAGGAAATCCATAGGACAACTGAGATAGAGGCCAGCTTGGATGTAGGACGGATCTGGACGCTCCCGTGCCTTGCTCTTCTTGTTCTCCTATAAATTATTACCATATTACATTTATATCCTGTCTTTTTCTGCTTCTTGCAAGGAACCTAGTAAGGTCCCCATCATGTCCATTTTATCCTCATGACAACCTGCGAGGTTGTTTAGGTGGAGCTACCCCAAGCTCATCCTCGAACTTCATGGCTGACTGGGGACCAGCTTCCAGATCTCCCGAGTCCCAATTTGTTTTATTTATTAATTTATTAAAACATTTCTATGCCGCCCCATTCGCCGAAGCCTCGGGGCGGCTCACAACATAAAATCTAGTGCTCTGGCCACTACACCGCACTGGCTCTGATTACCTAAAACAGGACCATTGTTTCATACCTCCTTGTAGAACAAGGGTAAGGAACCTTTTGCAGCTTAGAAGGCCAACTTCTGCTGCAGTGTAAAACTCTCCAGCGCTGCATTCCAGGGGTGTTTGGTCCTGAAGACAAAGAGGATGGAACCAAACGCCAAGTGGCTGGTGAAAAATGCCCTCCGGCAACCAACCGGTTGTAGCTTCAAATGCTTCCTGCCACCAACTAAGCCTTGGGAAGGCCCCTTGATCTTCTAAAATGGGGGAAACACTGCACAGGAGCCAGGACCCACTGATGAAAGAATAAAGAATGGTGGCTGAGAAAGGAGCGTGGCCAACGGAGAACCTTGGAGGCCCAGATTTGGCCTCCAGTTCTGAGTTTCCATGTTCTTTCCGTAAGCGATGTGAAAAGTTCCAGTGTGTGGACAAATCTGGGAAATGGTGGTATTTTGGGCAATGCAGAACCAATGAAGTCTGTAGGCTCCAGGATGAGCAGAGGACATACCCACTCCGGGCAATAGTCTGAGCTTTCTGGGAGCTATCCGTGGTGCTGAACTGCATTGCCAGGTAGGCTTGGGACCACAGGTAGTTGCTTTAATGGTGAGGCTGGCATCCGGAACAGACAGCTGTCCCCACGGCTGCGGCACAGGGGCACATGGAAATGCGTGATTTGTGCCACCGGCTCCCCCTTCTACCACTTCAACGACCAGAGCCACACTCAAGCAAAGGCTGCTTTTCACATCCGAAAGAAGTTAGGCGATCCAACATTTGTGCAGTGTCCATACAGTCCTGCAAGCAGGACTGAATTAATAGTCATACAGAATTGGGCATCGTGGCAACCCAGTCTTCTGTTTATTGTTGAAAGTAATCCAACACCTCGACTTCCACCACCCAATGATGGCAGAGGCAGCAACACGTTTGCAAGAACATATTCCGATTTGCTTCGTGTGGGTATTTTTATTAACCACACAGAAATTTAGGGTCTATTGGTAATGTATCCTCTGTGAGTGTGTTCAGAAAGCACCGTTCACCCCTTCTTGGCACAATTAAGAACTTTGCAATGGAGAAAAGTGTTAGGAAAAAAGGCTTCTGATTGCCTTTGACTATGCGTGACCTTGGCTGATTCTTCTAACATCTTTATCCTCTGCCTTTTCACAGGCCTGCGTAAGTGATTGTGAGACCAGATGAGCCGAAGTGATGCACCCAGAATCTGAATGCCAAATATCCCAGCTGGGCCACAGCCCCAGCAGCAAAGAGATGGAAAACGCATTCCACTTAAATGATATACATATGAAGACTGTACTTCAACAGGTGGCCACTCAAGCCAAAAGAACCTTTTCCTAGCCAGCTGCTCATGCCAATGCCTTCTCAATATGCTGGCTTATTAGTGGACTTGTAGGTTTTGCTACCAATGAATGAATGGCAGGATTGTTTCCTTCTTCCCTCCCCACCCACTCAGTCCCACCTGCTCTACTGAGAATCCAGGGGAGAATATTTGGAAATATCCACTTGATTCTGTTAGATTCTCTTTTGTAGAACCCATCCTTGAATGTACCCACTGTGGAGGTTTAATGGCATACACGTTGTTATTAGAAATGGACCAACCCTCCCCTCCCTTCCTGAACTCTGAACCCACCCCAAAGAATATCACCTTGCAATTGCCTGCAATGGACAAGGGACTAGTTGAACTTCCAAGCTCCCCGGTGTCATCACAACCACATTTAGTATGTATTCTTCAAGGCCCTCATTTATCAGTTCTGTTCCCACCTTCAGGTCCACCAGCCAGGCTCCCTGTTACAAATGAATGAAAACTGATAGGAAACTTCCTTGGATGTCGGTTACTGTAGAGTTTTCCTGACTGCCATCTCTCATCCAGCAGGATCATTATTTCCCACACTTTTACATTAAAACTAAAGAGATAAGCTTGAGTTGATCCTGACAAATCCAGAGTGCTTTAATATGGTCATGCACAGGAGAAATTAAGATGGCCCAGAGGAAATGTGACCAGCAGCACCGCTTACATGCAGCTGCCTTATCCGGAACCAGCCCAAAGATGCGGCTGCGTCAGTGCGGAATGGCAACAGGTTGACATCTGGGATCCTTCAGGTGGAGCCGCCAGGGCCCGAACCCAGGGCCTGCCGCCGCCCCTTGCCTCAGCCCTGTGGCACACACGTCCACACGCCGTGCCAAAAGCACGGGAGGCCCTTTGTGCGCATCGCAACAAGCTCTGAGAATGGAGAGGATGGGGAGGAACTGGAAAAGTTGTGTGCAGCATTTGGGAGCGTGTGACCCGACGGTGTAGCTGCCATGTGGACCTGCCACATAATTTGCAGTGTGGGGAGCTGCTTTTAGGATTTCACTCCATTCCTTCCTTTCTTCACCCCATACCACCCCATGGTTTTCCATTCTAACCCTTAAATTATCCTGTATCCTGTAGCCACTGTGTATGCTTAGTTCCTATGGGGCTGTTTAGGGTCCTGGCTTCCTGAGCGATTTCACCCTAAAGTTTTCTTTTTGCATTGTACACGCTGAGCTCCCGAAGCTCCCAATCCATCCTCCTTGTGCACTGGGGGTGCTACATAAGCAGTGGCATTCACACGCTGAACACAGGAAAGGCAGGAAGTGTTACCCCTCAGCTGCCTCACCTGCCCCTCCTCTCACATGAGCCGAGCAAGAGCAGGATCCCCTGGAGCTGGACAACTGGTCTTCTGTGTGTGTTGCTACACAGGTTCTCTGCACCTCTTCCACTGATGACTGCAAGTGTAGCTGGACAGCCGATCGGCAGCCCTTTGGCTGGGTCCGGCCCCCAAAGCGATGTGACCTGATTTGGCTCTCCATGGGGCTGCCGCAGCTGATATTAACCCGACGTCTTTGCATGTCAGGGGCATGGGTGGGGCGACAGAAAGAAATGGGTGCGAGCCGCCCCCAGGCTTCGGCGAATGGGGCGGCATCGAAGTCTCCTAAATAAATAATAAGACAATAAATACCACCGCATCCGTTAGATCTCCCAAAAAATAATACACCTTTTAGATTGTTTGTCAGATCGGAACCCAAAACCTTTGTTGCTAGCTGAATCCAGGATGGGTCGTGTGATTTTTTTTTAAAAAATAAAGGGATCAGGCAAAATCCTAGAGGTACATGCGTGGCTGATAGTCATGTCGAATTTGCTCCTTGCTCTAACGTGGAGTTCCAGACACAACGCTGGCTGAGCCTGGTTGCCTTCGTGGCCCAGCGGTGGACTTTCAAGGCGACTTTGGCTAGCCATCATTGGAAAGAGGTTTCTGGATTAGTTGGGCCATTGGTCCGATCCAGCACCAGACTGTCGTCCTCAGGCCTGAGAATTACGCCCTGTGCATTGGCTGCCGAGCCCTTTGTCTCCCTCGGGCAACTACAGCAGCATCTGAGGGACTTCCCAGAAGTGCAGCAAGATTGGCTTTTTCTAAAACTAACTCTCCCTTGAATCAATGGATTTCATTTCGGGACACCTAGATCTGACTCTGTGCAAGGGTGCTGACAGCACTCTTGTGGCTGAGGGTCTCAGGACCGCCACACGATCATCCCTTTCCGGAAACCTGGGCCGGTCTGCTCCAGCTCTTTGCCAACCCAAAACTTCCCGGGGCCTCCTAATCACCTCCAGCTGCCACGACTGCCTCTCGGGCTCCATTTTGAATGATATCTCAGCGTTGGGTTTCAAGGTCGCATTTGCACCCAACTCCATTTTTCTCTCATCGGGTGCAGGGTCTCCATCCCGAGACCCAAAGCTTGGTGTTCCCACTTTTTTATGGCTCAGCCCACTTTCCCCAACCATCATTCTTTTGGTGGTCCTTCGTTTTTATGCCAGCCCACTCCCCACCCGCTTTCTACAAGCCTGAAATGTCTCTCCTGAGGCAAGTCTGAGTTTTCGGCATAACACGCTGGTCCTTTTTGTCTTGCCTTATTTTGACTATGCTCCATTTACCTGTGGCCCCACCCTCCAGAGAACGGCCCCCTCCCAAAGCTTCTCAGCCATGGAATGTGGGCACTGCTCAGAAACAAGCCAACAGCCTGTCCAAGTGGCCTCGAAGCCTCTCTTGGGTTTTGTCCGTACTCCTGGAGCCATCTCAACTTGGGCTCAACTTGATTATTCAGCTTGTGGAAAGGTCAGCGCATCCTTTTAAACCTTGGGACTGTTGCCAACCGAGCTGGGTGGCCTTTGAGATTACAGCTGTTGGCCTGTAACAAAGATGGTGAGAATGGGCATCTCACGGGTGTCTCTCTAGCCGGCTGCGTCCATCAGCCATTATAGGGAGGTTTTCCATCTGTCCTAGGTAGCCCACATGTGCCTTTCCTAACAGTGCATCCCTGATGGTCATATTGCTGAAAAAAGACTTTCTTTAGCATTCTGCTCTGGAGTCAAGACCTTGGGCAATTGACTGGCTAAGAACGCCCTTGAGCAAGTTGTATCGTGTTCCTCCTGAGCAACCGAGACCCCATGCTCCACAGCCCTGCACCATGTGCACCCAGTGTCCATTCCTAAGCAGGCAACCCACCCCTGGCATCCTCTGAGGAGGCTCTGCCCTTCTTCAGTCCTCATGAAGCCGCATGCCCTGAAGGCATCCCCTGCTGGTTACCTGCTGCAACTCCACACACCTCTGAATAGAACGTGGAGTCCGAGGCGGAAGCCCGAAGGAGATGCTCCTTATGCCAATCTGCGCATCGCACAGGTCCCAAGTGGCCAAGAATCAGACTCTCTTTGAGACAGTGGCCTGGTTGTGGGAAGACAGGGCCTCTGTGTGGTGTCCCATCCAAGGCCTCTAAAGGACTCCAGGTGGGAACCCTCCAGAAGACCTCTTTTGTACTTAGCATGATTTTCTCTGTTCTTTGTTACTGTTCTAATAAATTAATGCTTTAAAGACATGGTGTTATTTGAACCATCCGTCCATCCATGAAATGATCCAAGACAGCATGCTCGGCATCTTCTCCCAGGAGCCCACTGGAACAGACCGATTGCCTGGTCTCCACATCTGGAAAGCCACAAGTTGCCCCCCTCCCTTAGTCCAGATGTGCATGCCAGTTGCTGCTGGGAGACGGGGGCACCGAGTCACTGTCATCTGGTTTGGAACAGGGCTGGGGTGAGGAGCCTGGGCCAAGCGCTCCGCAACAGGGGCGCGTTCTGGAGCTCAGAGGCAGTGGAGAGCAGTGGGGGCCATTTGGTATTCCAAGTCAGCCCTTCCGGGCCTCCCCTACCACAGGAACTCTGCACGGAGGCCCCGGTGGCATCGTGCCGACCCGAGGAGCTGCAGCGGATGCTGCCACGGCACCGGCACCTGAGGGAGATGCGGCTGCCAGCCCCATCAGCACAGGGCACGGGGCGAGGTGCCATCTTTTTGCCCACCTCAGGCAGCAGCGCGGCTTGGCTTGGCCCTGTGGCTGCTGCCCACCCAACTCCCTGGGACTGAGCAATCCCAAGGGGACTTTGGAGAGCCCTGAAGCGGGAGGGTGCCTCTTTGCTTAAGGGCTTCTCTCTTCTAGCTCACAATCTGACCTCTCAAATTGGGAAGAGCATCACCATCCGAGGGCTGTTCAATGATGTGACGGGGTTTGTAACTCTCCCTCGAGTCAAGCTAAACACTGTAAGAATAAAAAGCCAATTGGAGGAGATGGTGACCTCCTCCTCCTCCTCGCAAGGTGGTTGCTTGGAAGGACCTCTGTGAAGACAGGCATGGCCCAGTGATGGCCCAGGCAGGCAGATGGTGCCGCAAACATACAAGTTATTCCATCGCCCCAGACAGCTGCAGCATTCAGACAACCAAACCTCTGTGGACCACACATCTGGGAAGGAGAAAGGATTCTATATCTGATTGCGAGAAATAGAGTCATTGGCTCAAATTGAGAAGAGCTGTTTGGACAGATGCAGAAGAAGAAGGGGGGACACGAGAGAGGCTACAAACTGGGGCATTCAGGACAAGTGAAAGGGGGCTGGAATTAGCTTTCACAGGGTGTGCTAATGGCCTTCAGGGTGAATGCATTTAAAGGGGGACTGGACAGATTCATGGAGGAGGGGGCTATCATATCAGCGATAGCAGTCCCGAGAGCTATGCGTTACCTCCAAGGTCAGAGGCAGGGCTCCTGTGTGTGCCAGGGTTAGCCTTCCGTGGCCTGGCCTGAAGCTCCATCAACTCTCCATCTCTCCTACAGAACAGCTGGTTACTCTCAGTGCTGGCTGAGTGCAGGTGTGCCCACTTCGAGCCAGGGAAGGACTTCTTGCTGGATGGGACCCCCCAGCCCCCTGCACGAAGCCTCACTAGTGGGACAAATTCATACTGGGGGACAGGGACATGCAAATGCAGGGAGTGGCCATCAGGAAAGAGGGCTGCCTTGTTACTTTCAAAAGCGTGCAAAATGGACACTTCAGCTCAGCTGGGAAAGGGTAGACTGCAGATGTAAAATCTACAAAATTGTTCTCTTAAAAGGAGTAAACTGCCTTTCAGCTTTCCATTTCTGCTTAGTAATCTGGCTGCCACATTTCGCTCCATTCGTAGCTTGTCTTCAAGGGTAGCCAATGTGGGAGTCTTTGTAGTAGCCTAAACTGGCACCTAACAAAGCCATTTCTAACAGAAAGACGTTAAAGAACTGTAGCCTGGTCTAATATAAGGTTGCTTTTCATGTTCTACCTATCCAGAAGAAGCTGCAAATGAAGTGCCAGACTTAGCTATGTTCTCATGTGGAGCAATGAGGTTTAAACTTCATCAGCACATCAGCAACTACCATACCCCTCGTCCATAGTACTGTGGCTGACCCCAGCTACTCACTTTTGGATCAAGTGTGGGGAAGCTTTTGGAGTTATGAATGCATTCTTTAATCTAGGTTTTAGCTAAACTTGCAGTCAGCAACATAAAAGTCAAAGTCACATCACTTGGGCAACTGCCCTAAAGTTCACCCGCTTGTGCAGAGAGCATCTCTCATGGAGCAGCAGAAAATGTGCAGGACAAAAACAGCATAAAAAAAATAACGCTGTGAACCGCTCAGAGACCTACAATAGGAATGACATAATTTTCTTGCTTTCAGACTTTATTTCTCGAGGCCACTGGCAAGCAAGCTCTTCCCCTCTCCATTTAGCCTTGGCAGCCGTTTACAGCTTTGAAAAGACTATTATGTCGCAGCCTGGAAGAGTTAAGGCAAAGCTGCAGCTTTTTAAAAGGAATGTACAGAGATGCCCCTGAAAACTGAACTCTGTATGGAAATCTCTACAGCTTTCATCTTGCCAAGCGACTTTACTACTAGGCTGATGCTGCCCTCTGCTGGATAAATCAGGAATGGCACCAGATTGTTGTCTGTCTACGCAAAGCAATACGGTTGCTTACAACAGACCAGCTGGCCGTAGAAGTTGGGATCCTATGCTGAAGATATGGCAGAAGGCAAAGGAGGTAATTTTTATGTCTTCGATAGGTACAGTCACACAGCGCAGGCCCCTGCCGGCTCCCTCTCAGCATGGACAGGAGTTGTTTTAACTCTGCTTTGTCCTGTAGGAGTGCCTGGCAGCCCAGCCCTTGCTTACATGGAGATGCAGAGAGAGAAGATCAAAGATTGCAGCAAGGATCTTAAGAGCTAGTGTACTCTAAGGGTTAAGAAGGCAGGACTGGGACTCAGGAGATCCTGGTTTTCGTCCCCATTCAGCACTGAAGCTAAGCAGGTAACTTTGGATCAGTCCAATGCATCTCACAGGGTTGTCCAGGTGGGGATGAGATTGAGAGGAGGAGGAAAATATGGAAGCCACCTGGAGATCCTTGAAAGGAAAAAAGATGGGATATAAATATTTTTTAAAATGCTTGAGGTGGATGCTAAAACTTGCTGTGGGTTTTACTAGCCAAGGGGCATCTGTGGGTTCTTAGCTCCAGGACCCCAGCCTGTGTCTTTAGAACAGCCTAAATGAAGGTGATAACACTATTAAGAAATTGCTTTCATATGTGCAGGTTAAGGGCATGTGCGTGAGGCGATGAAGGAAAGATCAACGATGCTGTACATGAGGATAGCACAGCATTCCTCACTTTGCATTAAGTGGTTCTGAAACCCTTAAAGAAAGCCATTACAAAAATTTCCAACCCTAGAAATGGCAGCTTTCCAACGTGTCCTGCTCTTCACAGCCGCGCTCAGCTGTGACTTGCTTTATCCCTTGCATATTTGGTCTTCCGCTGTCTTTGACTTTCCCATTATTTATTTATACATGTATTCATGGGCTGCCTATAACTGCTGAGGCCTTCCTAGCTGGCCTACGATACATTTATTTATTTACTTAGAATTTTTGTATGCTGTCCCATCGCTTAGAGCCTCGGGACAGCTTACATAAAATAAACAAACATAACACATAGAATACAAATTAAAAACCCCGATTCATCCTGGCTGCAAATTAAAACCTATAGATAATATTAAAAGTTGTTAAAATATTGTTTAAATAAAAAGGTCTTAGCCTGGCGCCGAAAAACAAATAACGACGGCGCCAGGCGGACCTCTCTGGGGAGCGCATTCCATAGGTGGGGCGCCACCACGGAGAAGGCCCTCCTCCGGGTTCTTTGCTTCCTGATGTCTCTCCTGGAGGACTCCCGGAGGAGGGCCTCTGCTGCCAATCTCAAGGGGCGGGAGGGCAAATATGGAAGCAGGAGTTCCTTTAGGTATCCAGGTCCCAAGCCGTTAAGGGCTTTGTAGGTGATAACCAGCACCTTGAATTGAGCCCGGACTTCGATGGGGAGCCAGTGAAGCTGGTAGAGGACTGGGGTTATGTGAGAATAACGCCCAGTCCTCATCAGCAACCTGGCAATAGATAAAACATATTAACAAAGTAAAACACATTAAGACCAATTAAAACATCTATAAAAGCAATCTAAAGGGGCCTCAGCATTCAGGGCTAGGTGTTAAAAAATCCTTAAAAAGAATGTCTTTGCTTGGCGCCCAGAGGAGAATAAAGATGGCGCCAGGCGAATTTCCCAAGGGAGTTCCAAAGATGGGGAGCAGCAGCAGCAAAGGCCTTTCACCTGGTTGCCCCCCCTCATCTCCCCGAGGGAGGGTTCTTGTAGAAGGGCCTCCTGAGCTGATCTGAGGGGGTGGGTAGGCATATATGGGTGCAGACGGTCCCTTAGATAGCCAGACCCCCAAGCCGTTTAGGGCTTTGTGTGTCAATACAAGCGCCTTGAATTGGGCCTGAGCCACAACTGGCAGCCAGTGAGGTTTTCTTCAGAACTGGTGTTCTATGGGCCGCTCTAGAGTCACTAAGTAAGCGGCCCAATTCCGCACCAGTTGCAATTGCCGGACCGTCTTCAAGGGCAGCCCCATGTAGAGCACATTGCAATAATCTATTTTGGATGCATTTCAGGGCTGGGCAATGGCCTTCTAACCTATCCAAGGTTCCGCCTACCAATAGTACCTCCATCTGACCAGGATTAAGCGTCGGTTTATTGACTCTCATCCAGTCTGTTATCAAGCCCAGGACCCAGCTCAAGACAGCAACAGCCTCATCTGAGTCCTCCCTTCTTGCACAAGAGCCCTGGATGTGTTATTTTAGCTTCCAAGGAAAGTTCTAGGACTCTGGATCAAGAGGCTGCCCTCCAGTACCATGTTCCAAATATTTTCAGAGTTTCTCACACCAGGGGAAGACACTGGGAGAGCAGCTTCTCCAGGGCTTTTCCAAATTAGGAAGCATGGCCCGTGTGGAAGGGTGCAGAGCAATGCAGGAATTGGACACAGAAAGCGGCACACAGACACACAGCAAAGCACCCGTAGCCACCTCACACCAACCAGGTAAGTTCAAACACCACAAAAGTCACACACTGTACAACACCAAGAAAAAGATGGACCTCTCTTTCATAGAAGAAAAGCTTTGGGGACTTGGAGGGTAGATTTTGGGCCAGCCATAGCTCCATTTCTGCCCCAGAGATGGCCACCGCTTTGCCCCCCTCGTGCCTGCATGGGGAAGGATGCAAAATGGAGACCCATCTGCCAGTGCTGATGGTGCTGCCCTTTGCAGGGGCGACATGAACCCACCGCCAACACCCCAGGTACCCCTCCAGCAAAACTCTCTGCTGTAACCCATTGCCAATACTGAACCCATGAGAAATCGTTGAGAATTTCTCCTCCCACTGGGAATTCTCCCCCTCAATTTCTCTCTCTGCAAACAGTGTAGGGAATTCTGGGAAGCCTTCTGTGCACGTCTCTGTTCTGCACAACAGGTGTGTCAATTCCACACTTGTTACCATGGGATCAGCTCAGTATTGTGCATTTTAATTCCTCAGTAGGGAAAGCATCGAGTGAAACAGATAAAAGATTAAATTGACCACTTGAGTAGATTGACTGAAGAAGCAAAGTAGGCTTTTAAGTTAACCAGAAGGATAAAATACATACTTTATTCTGAAAAAGAAAATATAAGTAATCATACATCAAAAATAGGTCTGGTTTTTCAATAATACAAAAACACCAAGCTATTAAATAAGCTAGGGAAAAATATCTACTCCAAAACCTTATAGAGGTAAGGTACTGCACAAGCTTTTTGAACTGTATCTTCAATTTGAATAAGCCTCTGGAAGCCTGTACCCATCAGTGCGCAGAGCAGAAAGAACTCCAGAGTCATGGTGACCTTGCTCTTTCACCCTACAGAGATGGAGGCGCTTCTCCCCTCTTCCCCCCAAATGCTCCAAAGAACATGCATGGAGAAGTCCTGTAAGGGGATGCTGCACCGGGGAGAAAGGTGTGGCCCAGGCTTCCAAAAGGCATTCAGAAGCTTCTTCAGCGGAGCGCCTCTTCTCAGGCAGAATCGGGATCGCCAAGATGACAACAAACTGCTTCTGCCAATTCTGAAAGAGCAAGATGGATACCAGGAACACGTTTTCCTTGGACAGTCTCTCTCCCGTGATGGCCAGTGCCACCTTGCCTCCAAGATAACACAAAATGCTGATCCCCAGTCAATCGAAAACACTTGATTTGTCTGCTTGTCTGTTATTTTGAATTAAAAACAAGGCTGAAAATGGAATTTTCCCTAGTGAGACAGTCCTGGTCAGCGGGGCCCTCCCTATGGGGAATACCGACCCAGGAGTGCCCCTTGTTCAAGCTCAGAGTTAGCCCTCTAATCACTGAGCTAAACAAGAGGCGGATCCTATTCCCCACCCACACCTCTCTGCACGCAATTTCATCGCAGTTCTGCCCTGCTCTTTTTCCTTTGGCAAGGAACCTGAGCCCCTCACATGGCGGCCATCCTCACACCACCACCTGTGAAACGGCTCCGGCTGGGAGTTACGCCTGGCCCAGAGCGAGCGTTCTGGTGGGACTGGCGGGAGGACTCAGCACTCCCCATCCCCGTCTGGAACCGAGCCAGTACACCTCCCTGGCCACGGGGAAACTCTCCCCCGCCTTCTGATGGGTTTCTTACGCGACCCTCTTTACCTTCCAGGTTCAGGACAGAAACGCCTTCATAGTGTCGCGAATGACGCCCCTGCAGATGGGGCACCGCCTGAGATTCGGCGCACACTCTGCGCACACCACCAAGTGCCCGCAGGGGACGAGCACGATGGCCACGTCTTTGTCCATGCAGACTTTGCACATGCGCTCCTCCTGCAGCCGGCGCAGCTTCTCCTCCAGGCTCAAGGAAGCGTCTAGGAAGAGAAAGAAGCCAGGAGTCACCCATAACGTGCGGGGCCAACTCCCTCCCTTTTCTTGCAGTGAAAACCGCCCCAAGGAACGTCCCCTCTTAAAGTCTTGGCACTTAGAGCTGACTAACCTTGCAAAATGGTGAAAACTTCCTAGGTGAACTGATACATCCTAAGTATTTGCACTACTTTTACTGTTCTATAGTTTTGCAGTTGTTCTGCTGTATAGGGTTTATTCTGTGTTCAAAGTTTTGGTGTTTTTAAATGTGTCTCTCAAGCCAGTCAGGGATCTGAATCCAAGGCTTTTCTACATAAGGCTGGTTAGGTGCTGTTTCTCCTTTTGGCTCCATCACAGCGCTGAGATCTGAGCTTCATGTAAAGTTCATCCTTCCCTGCTTTCTGCTGCATAATCTCTCGTGGGCCCATGTCATAATGGAATAGCTCAAGTGCGCAAGGGGAAATAGGACTTTTAGATATAATGCCTCACTTTCCCAGGAATTTTGTTTTAAGGGGGGAATGTTTCTGAAAAAAACAGAAATGAACGAGAAGGATCCTGATGTGATCTAAAGAGTCTGTAAAGAAATGTAAAGAATCAGGAGTGAGTCCGCAATAAATGCCTCGTGTAGAAAAGTTCTTGGTCAGAAGAAACAGTGTAGATGTTTAAATCTGGGGCAGGAAACCTCCATTCCATGGGCAGCATGTACCTCCTGAGGGCTACACCATCCGGCTTGTGGGCTCCTGATTTCTCAGAAGGTGAGATGGGGGAGCTAAGAAAGGAAGGGTTAGATTGCTCCTATGCTAACAGTGGTAGAGGCTCAACAACCCTATGGAAAGAAATACGCAAGTCACGCTGCATCGCATTTACAGCCATCGTTGCCGCTACCAATTCTAGGAAACCTCCTAAATGCATCAGTGGGGCAGCTTCGTGAGGAGGAGAACGCCGAGACCACCCTTTTGGGGAAGGTTTGGCAGGGATGTGGGAATTGACAGAGTGGACGCCGTCAGCTGCTTCCCCGCTTCCCACCTGGGCCTGATCCGCAAAGTCGTCCAGAAGGCATCGGCGTCAAGGCAGCTATTTACCGATGAGCAACACTGCAGGCCTTGCCCAGCCACAGGGGTTCTTGCATCCCTGGGCAAATCTGCCCTGAGGGGGATTGCCTGATGGAGCTCGCTTGAGCATTCAGGTCTGGCTGTTCAAGCGGCACATGATGGGCTGGATTTAGTCATGACTCACTCATTCCCCAGCCTGGCCCCCTCCTCCTCCGTGGAGCTTTCCCTCCAACTTTACCTGGCCGGTTTGGATGTTCAGTTTCTGCCTCTCTTCTTGTTCTCCAAAGTCCTTGTTCTTCTTGAGCAGGCTCTGAACACACACACCAGAGAGAAGGACCATGTATTAAGCAGCCCTGTCTAGGCATTCCCTAAAGCAACAGAAGTCATCCTATAAAGCCCCAAACTCATCCACCATGGCTTTATTAATCATTCACACATTCCTGGAAGTGAACATCCACCGAGAGCAACATGACCTATTTCTCTGAAAATGCACACAGGAAAATTTCAGTGATCTAATGTGCTGATCGAGGAGAGCAGCATCCAGTTTCGTTCCCTACATGGAACCCTAAAGACAAAGATTTGGAGTTGTTCAGACATGCATGCACATCACAGCCATAGAGTGGCTACCTGCGAGTAAATGACACAAACACCAGAGAGTCTTTTGATACTGCTTCTGATCACTGCTTTTTAATTTAAAAAAGAAATCCCAAGAATTAATTGTTGTGAACATGCAAGTATGAATAAGAGAGGGAAGGAGGGAGGAAAGTGTACATGAGTGATATTTTCTGTACTGGAACATTTTTCCATTGCTGTATTTTCTGTTAGAAATTTCTAAAAGTTCATTGTTCCATAAAACTTTATGGATACACTTCTGGTCATACACAAATCGCTCAAAGTTGCAATTAACTTTCACATCACTCCTCTTAGGAAACATGTGCATATATACCCTCACTGACACCGCAATTTAGGCATGCTAAACGTTTTCAGAGCCTTCTTTTTTCCCTTAAAATCTAAGCTATGTGAGCAAGGACATACTCTTGAGTAATATTTTCATTGTGACTAAATGTTTCCATACAGACATTTGCCAAGGAAAGCTTTGACTTATTTGAATAGAACATGTAAACAACATTAAGTGTGCTTTAATGAATTTCCCCTCCTAATCAAGTATTTCAGTTCAGCTGGGGGTGTAGGGGACTGATGCAGGGCACATGAAATCAATGTGGTATACTTTACGTTTGTCTATTGCGTATAAGCTAAATGAATTTGCCAGGTCAAATCCTACTCTATTCAGGGCATGGGAAACTGGAAACGTTTTTTCCACAACTCCTAGATCAATGATGAACAGGCCTTACTTATTCCATAGCCACATTCAGGGTTGCATCCAATGTTTGTCCTATTTAAAGTACACCCACTAAAATGAACAATTTGTTAGATTAACAGTGGACACAGCCAAAAGGTATGTGACAAAGAATCCAGGGTCATAATAAAACCCCCAGTCCACATTCATATTAGCCGAGTTTGCAAATCACATGTCTCTCCCCTTTCTTTGAGTGGGATTGCTACCTATGCAAGGTATCCAGTGGTACCCTAGCGCTACAGTAAACTGTAGACATGGTGCTACAGTAAACCAAGGTTTGTGCAGTATAAAAACTGCAGCAGGATCTGAAGGCACAAGCAGCTGCTGCCATAGTGAAGCTGGGTCTGGTCAGTGCCTGGGAACTGCATGTTGCCACTCTGAGCTCCAGGATTTAAGAAGAGTGGAGCAGAGACATAATAAAAACTGGAAAGCATGAAAGAGTAGTATAAACTGGAACAAGCTGCATTTTATTTATTATTTATTAGATTATATCCCACCTTTTCCTTTTTAAAGAACCCAAAGTGGCTCGGATCATTCTTCCCCTCCTGCTCTCAATCTTATCCACAAAACAACAACCCTGTGAGGGAGGTTGGGCTGAGAGTCTGTGACTGGCCCAAAGTCACCCAGTCGGCTCTGTGGCTGAGCGGGGACTCGAACCCGGATCGCCTGAGTCCCAGTCCCACGTGCTTAAACACTACGCCACACTGGCTCTCATTGTACAAAGCCGTTAGTGTTGGGACACTGCTGGATCTTACCCAGGCTTTTAGAATCGCACTACCTTTTTCTCCTTTAGCTTGGTGCTGTTATTCTGCTACCAGATGTTCATGTGCAACCCCTAGGCCCCAGTTTTTCACTTGCACCTGCTCTTAATGGTCCAGGTTGTAGGCTCTGTGGGCAGAGATCCCTCTCCCTCCTACACACTGCTCAAGGCCTTGTTGACACCAAAGATGCCACTCCAAGAGGAGCTTCGCCAAAGCAAGGGACACCCATGTCCTTCGGAGTAAGAGCTCAGCGTCAGGGAAGTCCCTACCTTGGGAGCTCGCAAGACGTTGCACGGATGGGAAGAAGCTGGCGGCCTGAAATCAACATGAACTGCAAGTTATTGAGTAGAAACCTCATTTTATTTAAGTCTTTGATCTTGCGCATGTGCACACACTTGCCTGAGACACAGGGGGGCTGAGGTATGATTCCTGGATGCTGTCTATGAAGTCTCTTCCTCTGGACTGCAGGAGGAATTTGCACCTACAAAAGGCGGGGCAGAAACCAGACCAGTCACAGAACCTCCTGAGGGACAAGCAGCTTGGTTGAAAACATGAAACAGCAGGTATCAAGCTCGAAAGCTATCTGGGAACCCTCTGGAGCAGATCTGAGGGCCGCAGGGGAGGAGACAGGAAGGAGAAGTCCCCCTGTTCACACAAAACTGGCCCCATTGCACTGAAGTAGAGGTTGGATGAACAATGGCAGGAAGAACTATCCAGCAGTGAGGGGGATGGCTAAGCAGACCGCCACAAAAGTTTGAGAGTTATCTTTCACTGATTGCATTTATGCAGAGGCTTAATAATCACCTTTCAGGGATACCGTAGTCTATCATTCATTAGAGAGCCTGCATTTAGCAGGCAGTTGGATTAGATGATCTTCAAAGTCCTACCTAACCCTGCCTGGACTCCCAGAAGGTAAACAGACATCAGACAGAGCCGCAGAGCTGGCTCCTTGTTTAAGAGGTCCTTGTGACAGTGAACTAGCAATCTTGACCAGGTCTCTTGCTATAGCAGCCTTTGCTGAAGAATAAATTGGGAGTCTCAGAACGGTTCACCCCTCAAGGGTTTGAATGAGGAAGCCAACCCTGCATGCACATATCCCTTGGAGACCAGTCAGGGTTCAAGCAGGAACTAGTAGGAAATACGACAAGGATTCATTATGGTTTCCAGAAGTAAACATGCACATCTTTGCAGCTACAAGTAAAGCCCCAAATATTACAAGCATTTAGGGAAACTTGCTGTTACAGACCAGCAGCTAAGAAAGCAGGCCGGTAACAATGTGCTGCACGGCTCAGTCACCCTGCACATGACATGGGCGGGCGCACAATAGCGGGCACGCCGAGCATTCAGGGGAGTAAGGCAAACAACTGGAAAATCCCATCCTCGTGAAAGCGGCACGCCGACTCTTGTGTGCAGGTGTCCTGAATGTTCAAGCACTGCTTTCAGCAAAGCAGTTAGTTCCTGCTCCAGCTGACCTGGCCAGCTTAGGAATTTGCATTATACGATGGCGATTTCATGTTAGCTGTACGCTGACTTGGAAAGCTTTGCGCCCCTGAAGGCCCAAGCCATATGGGCGCCACTGGGAAGCACCTCCACTCCAGACAAGCTGAGTTATATTGCTGCCTGATGCAAAAATATCGCACAATAACTTATCGCTCTGCCTGGCCATAACAACAACAACAACAACAACAAGTTGAACCACTCGTCTTGCTGCCCTTTCATCACCCGACCCCCAATCGGATGCCTGATGGTAAGCCCTAATGAATAAATAAATAGTTAAAGCTATTAAGCCCCCCAGGGGTACAAAAAGGAGAGCCTTCTCAGTGGTGACCCCCTAACTATGGAATGATCACCTGATGATTGAGGCCTGCCTGGCACCTGCATTGTTATCCTTCCAGTGCCAGGTTACAGCAGACCTTCATCCTGAGGCATTTTAAGGTTATTTAATGGCTTGATAAGGCATTCGTGCCCAGTATTTTAAAAATATTGCGTTTGTTGATAAATGGTTCTTAATTTTTAAAAAGCGTTTAAATTCAGTAATCCCACACACACACTGTATTGCAATCCTATTTGAGGAATCAGTGTAAACTACCCAGAGTCCACCGGCTATATAAATGAAATAAACCAAAATAAACTAGCACCGTGTTTTCTGAGGACAGGCAATTTGAATGTAGGGATGCATTACCTTGGAAACCACCTGGCATGCTCCATCCAGGGATCATCCCCACGTTCCCAGTTCCGCAAAGCACCATCACAGTAGAAACACCGCACAAAATCGCCCTCGCCTGAAAACATCCATAATAAAAGGGTCCCGTATTAGTCAAAGCCCCCATCACCAAAAGTTCTTGCTACAGAGGACAGAGCGCGCTGGTTTTTCTGCTCATGCACCATCAGTCCATGATGCAGGGCCAGAGGGGTAATTCTACAGCCAGAGATCGAGAGAGCACAGAATGGCTACAGATTTTGCTAAGTATTTTCTACCTTTTTACTGTGGCCTAGAATCATGGAGAAAATAAGAACAGCCTAGAATAATAGGAAAGAGGGAAGATGCTGCAAACGTTTCCCTCCCTGCAGGGAGCAAAATCTTCCCTGGCCACCGCTCTGGTTTTTGAGATCTCAGCGGGTCTTAAACATGCAGACCGCACTGCTGCGCATGAGGAGAGAAAGCGCAGGGCAGGAGGGACCGCCCAGCGCCAAGCATCGCATGGCCCTTTCTGTATTCCCACAGATTCTGGGATTTTGAGTGGTGGGGCAAAAACAATGTTTTACTTGCCTATGGCTAAGGGGACGCCTCACTGTCTGTAGGGCAGCTGGTCGAAATGCGCCACTCACATAACGAGGCTACAAGGCTCCCAGGAGGAACCATCTGCCCCCAGGCAAGGGGGAAGTCATGATCAGGGTATAGGGGGTGAAGTGTTGCTGGCAGTGGCGGGAGAGGGGACTGCCATTTCTGGGGCTGCAACCACTGGTGCCAGGTCCAGCTGCCCGCGGACGTGCCCTCCAGACTTCCCCTCTGCAGTTGTGCACTTGTGTAAAGAAAAGTCTGACTATACAGACCAGCATGCCCAGCGGGAGTGGGATAATGCGAGGGCTGGTGGAGCTGGGGTCCTTCTGAGGCTGCAAGCTGCCCATCCCTGCCCTACAGCTTGCTGGCTTGTAAAGAAAGATTAGACGAAGTTCATAGAGAACTGATCAAAAGGACTGGTTGCTAAAATGGCTAAAACAGAGCCTCCATATTTAGGAGCACTGTACCTCTCAAGGTCAGACGTGGCATTAACAAGCAGGTTTGGTCTATGCTAGCTAGGGGAAGCACCACTCAGAAGGCGCTGTCTTGCTGCTGCCTCTGAGCCTTCTCAGCGGGAGGCGCCTGGAGGGCAGTGATAGATGAACCTATCCTAGGGGTAGGCGCCTGGTTAAACGGCCTTCAATGTGAGCTGTTTCCCTACTTCTCTCTTCTCCCTTTGCCTGCAGCTGCACACATACACACACCTACACATCGGTGTTCCTCTGACGCGCTGTAAAACATTTACTTTTTCCTTCTTTCTCTATCCAGACACAAGGCACCTGGAGGGCACCGAGTAAGAGAAGTCTGCTGTGGACAAACCTTCTAACCGGCCCACTGCAAGCAAATCCTCATGTCCTTACACACCTGTGTAGAAGAAGCCCGCTCCGGCCAACACCTCTGGACACACGCGTGCATAGGACGGCCAGTTCTGGAAAGTCCTCAACCGGCTGCCCTCCGCCTCCAGATCTGGGTATTCGGGTTGGCTGTCCACAGTGGCCTCTTCCATGCTTAAACTCTGCAATGTGCCCAGGAACTGTCCATCCACGCAATCCTGGATCTCCTCCATGGAAGGCATCAGCAGAGGTCTGGCTTCCTTGGCCTGGATGAAGGGACACGTTGGGAAGAACTTCCGGTGCTCTGCTACAGGGTCATCCTGAGCATGCCAGTCGTACAAGACCCCCTCACAGCAGAAGCATTTCACTCGGTCGTCGGGACCCGTGAAGAAAAACCCAGCAGCGGCCAGATCCCTTGGAGAAACCGGGGCACTCTCTGGCCAGCGCTGGAAGGTCTGTAGCCGCCTCTCCTCAGACCTCATGACGGAGGGTGCCTGATGCAACGCTTTGCTTCTGCTTTTCCCAGGGAAGGAGTTGCCACCTCTGCTGTGGGTTTGCTCAGGAGATAAGCTGCTCTCCATCCTGGAGAAGAGGGCCCTCAGCGCATCTACAGCGTGCTGGACAATGAGCCGCTCGCTCCCGTCGGCAGCCTGCATCTCTTTCGCCCGCTTTGGCTCTGTGGCGGTGCGCTCTGGAAAGGTCTACACTGAAAAAAAGCAGTGGGAGGGGAGAGAGCGCCAAAGGGCCTCTGGAGCAGCAGACACAGGCGGTGTTCTGGCTTTTCTGATGTTGTTGTAGTTGTCAGACAATGGCTGCCCTTCTGCTCAATTCTTCTTGTGCCTGGACAGGGCAGGAAGGAAAAGGTAAACTGTTTACACCAAGTAAGAAGAGCGTGGAAATGTATGCAAAGGGGGGGGGGCGGTGAGAGATTCAGCAATAGTTAAAATGAAATGCCTTTTAAACTGAGTACATTCCTCACATGTAGAGATTATTAACACTGAGCAGAAAAGAGGGGAGTCGGTCATTTAGGGTGAACGTTAGCTGAGATGGCAGAAAGATTTACAACTGCCATGCTGGCTAGGGAGAGCTTGGAGCTGTACCAACTAAGGCATGCACAGAACTGCACCCTAAAGGGCTGGACTTGTTTAGTATTTACTCCATTTAAGAAAAGAAGGTGCACGGAGTGTGTTTGCAGCCCGCGACTCCCTGGCCCATATTCAAAAATTCCTCCTTTTTATGACAAGGAAGTCGAGTTGTCATTTGGTGCATTGAGTGCCAGAGAGGTGTAGTGGCTAGAGTACTGAAGCGGGAAATAGATGCCTGGGGTTATAGTACCCATTTGGTCCTAAAGCACCCTGGGTGCCTTTGGGCCAGTCACACAGGCTCAGCCTAACCTACCTCACAGGGCTGTTGTGAAGATAAAATGAAGAGGAGCACTATTTGTAAACCACCTTAGCTTCCTTGCAGGAAAAACGGGCAAGACAAAAATATAATAAATAAGCACAGTTTTGTCTTAGTGCAGGTACACTAAGACTTTCATGAATATTTTTGGGACTTTCTCCTTCTGAAGAATAGTACAGAAAAGTTAAATACCTAGGGACCGTTATGGAAGCCCACACAATTGTCAAGGAAGTCAACATGCTTTGTATGGGGAATGATGAGTCCCCCACACCTGCCATAGGGCCAAAGATATTTTGGACCCACACCTAACAAAAATAGAGGCATAATGAACTAATGATCATGTGAATAAGCCTCTATCAGCCCATTAAAAACATAGTTGCTACTTTATACAGGTTTTATTAAAATAAAATAAAATTTAATAAATTTTATTAAATTTAATTAAGCCTGCTAAAATTTACATACACATAAAAATATTTCTAAACAAAGGTTTATTTCCCCCGCCAGAGTGGTTTTCCCCAGGACTGATGCCCTCTAGATATGCTGAACTACAACTCCCATCTTCCAGCTGCTGTGGCTGGGGTGATGGGAACTGTGGTCAGAGACATTTGAACAACACCAGGTTTGAGAAGACTATGCTCAAGATGTAGCAGTCCCATTTTCTAGACAGCAGGAGGAAAAGTCCACACCTTTAGCAATTTAAGGTCATTTAATGAAGGCAGTTCTCCTCCGTCTGATACTCAATTCTGTAGCATTACACAGATATACATTGTTTCTCTTGCATCTGTACACCAACCCTGCTGGGCTCTGCAATTTAGCAGTACTTAAATTTGCTGTTTTCCTTCTCCCTCCCAATCCCCTTTCCTTTAGTATCATGTTTTTACGATTGGAAACCTACAAGCAGGGATGGTCTTTAAAACAACTCAATGAGCCACTGTGGGAGCCATTTTGGGTAAAGGGCAGGATTAAAAAAAAACCTTCACATATATAAAATATTTTTTACTAGTCTCTTACTAAAAGGAAAAGGATATTGCAAGAAAATATTCCCTCAAAATATTGATGACTCAATATTGAAAATATTGAGTCATCAATACTCAATGGTATTATTATGGTTGTAAGACCAATCTATCATATCATTATTGATGCATCTTACTTACTGAACTAGAAAAGCTTCTACTCCTCATCCACAAAGTAGAAAACAAAAGCACAATTGCCTTCTGGGGCATCTTTAACTTCCATGCTCCACCCAACCAATTAACTATTTTGTGTGCGCAATCAGCCATTTAAAGCTACAAGCAGTTTTAAGCCTGATCTGGGACACACGCCAAACATGAAATGTACCCAAAGCATAGTGGCTATATCAGGGGGTGGTTAACTGTGGTCTTCCAGAGGTTGGTGAACTACAACTCCCATCTTCCACCACCATATACCATGCTGGCTGGGGCAGATGGAAGCTGGAGTCCATCTGTATTAGGAGGACCAAAGGCCCCCCACCTGTGGGTGAGAGTATTCTGAGTACTACTGGATCACCCAGGTTCAGATCTGAAATAGCGTGACGCTCTTGACCACAATCTCTTAGCCCAGGGGTGCGAAACCTCCGACTTTCCATGGCTTCCCCAGACACACTTCCCTGTCTCCAAGCTGCAACTGTTTCATGATTTCCTGGATTTTGAGCAGTTTGTCACCTATTAAAAGAGGTTGAAATGCCTCTTCTGGGGCTGTTAATAACAGTAAATGTTATACGCTAAAATATGTTGGGTTTTTTGGTCCCACCAACCAAGTCTCAATCTTAGTCTTCTACAATCTCAAGAAAGTGGAATTTGGCCCTCTAGCTGGAAGAGGCCCTCTGTTAGCCTAACCTACCTCACAGGATCACTTGCGGACATTTGTGAAAAAGTGTATTCTACTCTGAGCAAGCTGAAGGAGTACAAGGTAAAGGTTCCCAGTAGCAAGGTATGGCTGTGAAAGCTGGACCATAAGGAAATCTGAGCGCTGAAGAATTGAGGCCTTTGAATTGTGGTGCTGGAGGAGACTCCTGCGAGTCCCTTGGACCGCAAGGCGATCAAACCGGTCAGTCCTAGAGGAGATCAACCCTGACTGCTCTCTAGAAGGCCAGATCCTGAAGATGAAACTCAAATACTTTGGCCACCTAATGAGAAGGAAGGACTCCCTGGACAAGAACTGGGAACAATAGACGGCAAAAGAAGAAGGGGACGGCAGAGGATGAGGTGGCCAGATGGAGTCATAGAAGCAGTCGGTGTGAAATTAAGTGGACTCCAGGAGATGGTGGAGGACAGGAAGGCCTGGAGGAATGTTGTCCATGGGGTCACGATGGGTCGGACACAACTTTGCGACAAACAACAACAACAACAAATAAAAGATTTGGCTAATTCTGTCAAGATTTCTTGACCTCACAGGCATAATTCTGAGTAATTTTAATAGCAGTTCCATCCCAGATACCTGGATTCTAGTTACCATTGGGGGAAACCCACCTGAAGGAAACCCTTTTGAGGTAGAGAGTTGGTCAGTGGAACAACATCACAAATTGTAGGGATTTGGGAGCCTCCAAACAGTGTAGGGGAAGGGGGGCTTTAGCACAGCAAGAGAGCATGAGTTACACAAACTGAGACAGTAGCTCAGCATCCTCTACCCAGACAATTCAATGCAACCAAGTCAAGCCAAGGGTCAAATGCAAAAATTGTTCTGAAGGTTTATATGCAAATATGGGGTCCATGTTTTTCAGCTGAGGGTAATCACAAACCAATTATGTTGGAAACATGTCTTCCCAGTTTGGAAAGAGTATCACAAACCACTGGAGCATTTTGGAGTTCAGATCAAGCCATAAATTAATATCTTTATTGATTGATTTATTTGAAGCATTTTTATGGCACTCCTCAGCCAAAACGGCTCCCAGAGTCACTCACATGTGCTCAATTAAACAAGACATAATAATACATCGTTCATAAGGGGATGAAGAAACCCTAATGCATTGTTTTCCAGATAATGTCCCATAAAAGTGTTTAACATTTATTGTATGCCTATTAAATAAGCAGATGAAACTATGTGCCCCCAAGGTAAGCATCATTCACCTAATTTGGATTGTGTTGTGCCACCTTTAGAAACACAACTGGAGTTGCTGTTTCAAGGTAGCCATATTTACCTAAAAGATGCCAATGTGACTTGAAAGCCCAGACCTTAAAGCCAATCTATTTCAATATCAAAATTCCCAGGCATCATCTTCTGACACAGACACACACACACCTCCTGCTGGGATCCCCCCAACAAATGAGATGGCTAGTGACCAGGGGAAGCAGGTATTTTCAGCTTTGGTGTTTCACTTAAGCTCTCCTGCTTAATTTGTTATCATTTGTGTGTCAAGGAAATTCTTCTTTATTTCTTTGGGTCATTTTAGCAGGGTTTTCGGACACAACATCACATTCTGCTGTTTGGTTATGATTGTTTCTTACCTTTGTTTTCTTTTTTCTTATTGAAGAGTAGTAAATGATTTTTAAACATTTAAACAAGTGAACATACAAACCAATAAAACTAGTCCCATTATGACCATGGACAAAGCAAAGGCTGTGTAGTCCCTTTGTTTGTCTGCAGGTTGTGTCCTTAGGCCCTTCACAGGGTCACGTCCTCTAGAACAAGCTATAATTAATGACAATTCTAGAACACTACTGCTTTGCCCTAATATTTAACATATTTATTTATTTAAAATGGCTTTTAGGCCACTTTTATGTGTTCATTTCTCTCAGGGACATATAAACAATAAAACCAAAGGAAATTATGCAAACCAAATGAAAATCAGTCAGTGAAAATGCTACAAAACACCCGCAACAAAACACTAATAAAGCCAGCACATCGAATATAGAAACCCCAACAAGAACCAGTGGGTCATCAGAGATTTCCTTGAAGGCTTATGCAGAAGTGGAACCAGCAAACCCCTGACAGAAGCAGATGTCAGAAGCCTTTAAGGGCCATCACTGAAAGGTGCCAGGAGCCTTAACAGAAATCTCCCTGCTGATGAGTAGCACAGTTTACACGGCAAGTGCCCACAGGACCAGGGGGCCTGCAGGAACTTGCAAGGACTGGCGCTTGTGCAATCATACAGCATGACTGGGAGCTGAAGTGCTCTAGAAAAGCCCTCCTGTACTGCTTAGTTTTGTCACAATGTAGACCTTCATGGTGGCTGCCTTGTGGTCGTGATCCGGCCTCTGCCCTTGCCTTTGGTCTGACCTGCCTTGCCAAGCACCTCCTCCTTATCTGATTTTGCCTTTCCAGTATCTGACCTCAGCCTGCATTTGGACTCCTTCCTTACTTCTGGCCTCTTGCACCCTGCTAAAACCTCCATTCTTCCCCAGCATTCCTGGTGTTCTAGCTGTTGACACCTGCTGCTCATGTCCTGGTGTTAACGAAAGGCCTTTTCATTCTCACTACTCTAAGCACATTTGGTGGTGCAAGTGAAGGGTTTGGATGAATTCGAAGAGAGTGGCTTTGGGAAGAGGTGGTCCTTCAACTAACCATTTGAGTGTTTGCAGCATGTCTACTAAAGCTCCAATGCTCAGTCAGCTGATGATACATAAACCAACTACTAGCCTCTACCAACACTCAGGCAGTCATATTCTGTACTGTTTGAAACCTCCAAACTGTCTTCATGGGCAGCCCCATGTAAAGTGCATTACATAGTCCATTCTGGATGTCTCTAGAACATGAATCAGTGAGGCAAAATCCTCTCTTTCTAGATAGGATGGTCCGCCAATTGCAATCCTAAGCTGGTAAAAAGCATCCCTGGTAAGTACAGCACGTCACACACCTACCAGAAAGCCAAGGCTCTAACACAACAAGATCAACAGGGGCAGGAAAGATTATTTTGGCACAGATAAATGTAACAAGATTTGCTGTGCACTAACTGCTGCTGGATGAACAGGGTGGCCACCTGCAGCTTTGGCCAAAGCAAAAGGTGCATTTCTCCAATGTGTAAGTGGACCAGCTGCTGGGGAACATGGGCAGGATATATGTTGTTACCCAGTCCTGCTTGTTGAGTCTCCCTTAAGCAGCAGTGCTGGACTCGATGGACCCTTGGTCTGATCCTGCATGTCCCTTCCCATATTCTTATGGCTCCATGCTATAGCATCCTATCTTAGCACTAGTCACTGTAGTCAGATGTATCAATCACTCTCCTTTTTCCTGTCACCAGTCCTGCTGGCCTTTAAAACAAAACATGTTTTGCATCTAATAGGCAAGAAAACTTAGCATATGGAGATTTGGTGGTTTAGGGCAATTCTGCAATACTTGCTACAAATCCTTTGTAAGAAGTCAGTTTGTTTGTTTATAACCTGCTTCATTTTCCTTCTTTGGGATGCTTCAAATCCTGGGGTTATTTCTGAGCCCTTAGTGCATGTTTTGCTGGTAACGTCACATTCCTATCTGTAACAGGACTTTCAAAACTGAGTCTCTGAAGGTTTGGTGCAACACCCTTTTATTCCTACGTACTTACTCATTGTCCAGTGTGCTCCTACCCATGTTTAGTCCAAAGGAAGTTTGCCTTGCTTAGAATCACAGAGTACATTTTATTAAGTGCAGTAATCAGCGCAAGGCATATTTTCATGTGGGGAATGAACAGGTGTACAATGGTACGTCTTTTAGCCAGAAAAAGTCCTACAACTTCCATGCATATGAGTATACCCTTTATAACCTTATCAATACTGCTTGGGTCTCTAATTAGTTCGGGGTACAATCCTACACGTTTCACCCGAAAGTCCTAGAAACTGTAGGATTTTTTTTCTGGATGAAATTCCTAGGATTGCACCTTAAGTATTATTGTTGGGCATCTGCTGCATGGCATGTAAAAATATATATGGCTCCTACTGCAATTGAAATAATACAACTCCGACTACACTCACATGAGTATTGCAGGGGGGACCCCACTTCCTGCTATAAGGCCAAAGCATCGTGTGAAACGGTCCGAGTGTGTCTGGGTGCGTGTCTGACGTGAAGCTGGGACACATGTGGGACCGACCCGACTGCCCATGGCCAGCTGCATGAGGGAAAAAGTCTTCTCTCTCCCTCCTCCGGCAGGACTCGGCATGCCTGGACATTCAGTAGAAGGGGCCTCTGCCGTGTCCGGGACACTGCGCCACGCCTGTTGAACGTCGGCCTGTCCGCCACGCGGCTGCGTAAAGGTACAGGACCCCCGCTACGGAAGGGCACGCGAGCAATTAACGGAGGGCACGTACCATGTATTAATTAAGCCAGCACTCTGGCTGGCGGGGGGCGGGACTACAGAAGCACGCCCATTTGGAGCCGTACAACCACCCGCCCGAGGTAAAACAGCGCGGCCATTTTTTTTTTAACCATCGTACTCCCCCTTCTTTTTATTGGATACGATCGGCAATAAGCCCCACTCCTGGCTGTCAATCATCCCTCTCCCCGCCTCCCAAGCCGAAGAGCGAAGGCGGGTTGGTGGGGAACTTGAAATCCGACGGTCAGAATGAGGAGGAGTTACGGCTGCGTCTTCTCGCGTAACGGACGCCGTCGCTCTCACCTCCCTACCGCGCCTGCGCAGCAGGTGGTGCCTTTATCTCGCTTCCCTCCCCCCCCCATTCCCTTCCTTCCTCTTTCGCGTACGGTCGTGCGCGTGTGTATCTATGTTCCCCCCTCTCCCGGCATGCCCCACGCGCAGAGGCGTTGACGTCACCGCAGCCCGGTCCCCGCCGCCATTGGACTGAGGAGCCTTCTCCGGCTGGCAAATAAGTGCCCGTCGTCTCCCCTCTCGCCCAGCCCCGCTTCAAGGAGAGGCGAGGAGGCGGCAGAAGGGGAGGGTAGACCCGCCACCCTTCGGGCCAAGAGCGAGAGAAGGAGCGACGAGAGAGGGCAAGGGGGAAACGAGCGGGCGGCGGCAGGTCTCCGTGTGTGGAGGCGAGCGATGTGAGAGAAGGATCCCGCGCGCGCACGGACGAGCGAACCAGCGCGCGTGCGCGCGGCCCTCTTCCCTCCCCCTCCCCCTCCTTGGCCGGAGCTCCCCCCCCCCCCCCCCCCCGGGCCCCCGGGGGGTCCCCTTCCCCCCCCCCCCCAGCCAGTCAGCCGCACTCCCTCCTCCCGGGAAAAGCAAGCGACGGGAGGGGGGAGCCCCGACCACCCAGCCACGCGCCCCTCCCCTGCTCCCCGACCGCGCACAGGCACCCCCACGCTGCCCACCCTTGCTGCGCGCTCGTGCCTGGCCGCGCCCCCTCCCCTCCCTCCTCCTCCTCCTCCTCCCCCGCCCCCTCCCCACTTCAGGGCGCATGAGAGATGTCTGCCACCAGCGTTGACCCCCAGGTAAGTGGGTCACTGGGGGCGGGAGGGCAGCAGGGGCAGCGCCTCCCTTCCCCACTCCGCGGCAGCTGCTCGCTTGCCGTGGAACCCCCGGCCCTTCTCTTGCGCTCGTCCCGCCCTCCTCTGCCTGCCTGCCCGCCTGCCTGCCTTTCTTTCTTCCTGGCACTCAGCAAGCCTCCCTGGGTGGGCCACGCGCGCTCCTTTCGGGCTGCGTGCTCCAGAGAAACTCTCGTCTTTTCCTCGCACCCCTCGTGCTTGAATATGGATCAGCGGTGTCTGGTACCGGCCAGATGGGGTCAACAACAGTTCCCATCATTACCAGGCCGGTGGAAGAGGTAGCCCAGCACATCCGCCTGGGGAAAGCCTGGTGGCTCCCCTGTACAGTATAAGGCTTCATTCGTCTTGGCTTTTCCTCTCCTGCCCTTTCAGGCCTTTGTTTTGCCCCCTTCTGAGTTTGGCTGTGCCTTTCATGTCTGTGTGTGTCTCTCCCCCACACACAGATACATGCAGCCAAGGAGGGGTGGCTATGAGCATCATGCTTTGAGAGCTGTGCACCTGAGATGTTTGAGGTGTCTGCTCAATTTGAGGATGTGCCAGACACTGGACACCTCTGATACTCATGTTGCCGGTTCCCTTAGGGAACTTGGCTGGGGCTCTGAGTATCCATTTGGAGGTAAATCTGCAGTTTCACTTGTGCAATATGTGAACCAGCCACCTAAAACCACTGTTCAGGGCCCCTTTGGAGAGCACAACCTTGGATATTATGTTTCTCTACTCGTCCATATTCCAAATACTTTGCATCTCTCACAACTTCCATGGCCCAAGTTATATAGTTTGGACCTTCTATTTAGGTCACTGTTTATTTGCCAGGCCTTGTGTTTGGTTACCTCCTTACCATGTTTAGTCTCCGTTGGTTTTCCCGTTGTTCCCTTCTTGAGCATCTGCCCCAGGGCAGGCATTTGGTCATTTCTCTGTCATCTCTCTGCCTTCTCTAAGCCACTCTTGGCTGCACTGCAGCCCAACATTCGGTTTTGGGAAGTGGGGTCTCTGCTACTCTTGTTAGAGTTATGTGTTGTGTCAGTGGCCATCCTATTTCTCCCTTTTCTTTTCCTGCGTGTTAACTTCAAAAAAATGTGTGCAGCACACTCCCTCATCTGACTGGAGGAACTTAGTATTTCTTTTCTTCCTGTCTTTGCTTTTAGGAAGCTCAGTCTGCTTGCAAACACACTTCCTTCCATCATCATCATCATCATTATTATTATTGTCGTTCTATGACTTTTATATACTTGTTTGGAGTGTTTAGATGATCTTTATCTTACGAACTCTTACAGCAATTCTTAGGCAAGTAATATCCTTATAATGCAAGAGTCTGAGGGTGAGAGGTAGTGACTTGCCTACCTAATGAAGTCATGGCTGAAATGAAATTTAGATTGGAGAATTCATATTCTTATGTGCAGAACTACATCAGTTCTACATAAGTATCTGCAGCACGGGTGACCTCCCCTCATGTTCATTTTTTGTCTCAGCCACCTCTTCTTGCCTTATTCTTTGTGTGCTGTGTTCTCTAGCACTCTACTTCTTGGTTTGTGTGCATGCTTAACTGCTGGCTTCCCCAAGATTTAATACTTTTTTTCTTGACTCACCTCTTACTCTTCTTCCTTTCCTTTTGTGCCTGGGGCACTAAGAGAACTAAGAAGTTTCTACCTCATATCATACATCTGCATTAAGGCTAACATTTCCCATGTTTGATCAGTTATAATGTAAGGTTTGGAGTTTCTCTTTCCTTCTATAAGTTTCTGCAGAAGTTAGCCCTCTTCGTTTTGTTGTCACTAGCAATTTATCCCTTGCTTTCTTCTCTCTAGGTTTCTATTTTTGTACAGAGGCATTGTGCATTTTCTTGTCTCTTTCTGCTGGGCTCAATCCCTGACCCTTACAATGATGTTCTGCTGAGGTTACTTTCTGTACTAATTCCTTGGAAGTCCCTGATAGTGCCTCTTCTATGCCCTTGACCATTTCCAGTTAGAACTAGCCACAAATAATGTGAGATAATTCAGTAGGCATCAAGTGAGTTAACAGATGTCCAAACTTTGGAGGCTAGGAAAAAGTGTGATTGGAAACTATAATTAGAAAATGTTTTAATGGATTTGCCCTATCTCTTAGTGTAGATAGCAATATTGTGAATGCATTATGAGTTACACTATGTAAATTAGAATTGTCGTTTGCTTTGTACTCTAGTGACAAGCATTATCTGTTTTCTTTTATCTTACCATGTGACATGACAGAGACCAAAAGGACAGGATAATAAAGGTAAGAAAGCAGTTGTAGACTAAATACATACTGAACTAGGCTTTCACAGATGGAATGTGGCTTTCTTAATGCTACAAAATCCTACCTGTATGCAAAACCAAGCGTCATTAACCTAGTACTGCAATCCTGAGTCTACTCAGGAGTAAGTAGCTAAGAATTAACGCCTAAGTCTGAGGTTTGCTTTAACTTTTTTGTTTATTTACGTAATAGATGTTTAACCTTCTTAGAGTAAAAGCTTTCCCAAAGCATATTACTACATGCTTTAAAATATAAAATAAGAAACTATTTGTTCTGCATTGTTGTAGTACAGGTATTCATCTCCCACTTATGATAAACAACAGTGATGTGCAGACTTTGCAAGCAGAATTATTATAAAAGAGAAGTTAAAAAATCCAAGTTTATGCAAATGTCATGTTGCTATTAGCCACTTCCTCTTCTGTTAACAGAATATAATTGGTCATTATAGTATAATACATCACTGTTCTTTTTTTCCACTGAAACTATTTTTGGAGCATTTATCCCAAAGTTTAAACTTGTCTATGAGAGCAAGGTGCAGAGACTGTATATAAAAATCAGCATTTGACAAGCTGAGGTTTAGAAAGCAAACATTCTTGCTTATAAATCATGTTGTACATGTGAATCATAATATGTATAATTGTCTACAATATAGGCCACCCAATTCTAAACTGTCGTGGTAGGAAACAATAACACATAATTGATTCATATCAGTATTCCTCCTACTTCAAGTAGATATGGGACATGAAGGGATACCATACTAGAACCACAATACACTGATAGTACAATGACTGTGGTTCTAGTAATATCAATATTGTAATAAGAAAAACATTCTTAAGGCGCAATCTTCTGGAACTTCAGACAGAAGAAAAGGCATGCAACTCTCAGCATGCTCCAGAACACTGACTGCTTCCTGCAAGGTTGCAGCTGGGCCTCTGAGGGAGAAAAAGGAGTGTGCTTTATGGAGGGGAAGGGTGGGCCCAAACTGCATGGACTCCTGTTGGCAGCCCAGCCTCCTTCCCTCCCTGGGGTTTTTATCTAAATAACGCTAAATGGTGGTCTAGGTAACATGGCCAGAATGAGACATAGCAGTGATTGCTACCGCTGTGTGTTGTCCTGGGCATTGGACGCACATAGGCATAGTCCCTATGTGCACTGGGGGCATGGGGCATAGTTTTATGCCCTGAATGGCTTTAATATCTTGTGCCTAAAAGCAGTCCATGCAAGCACAATGCTTCCTGTTATATTATTATAGTAAGTCATTAAAATTGTATAACTCCCCTAGACTAATGCAACCTTTTTCCAGATTGTTTTTGTCATTCCATAGAAGTTCAATTTTTATTAGGTATAACTTAGCAATATGCCTTCTGATTTTGCTTGTGTATAAGATCAGACTTTGATATGTCTTTCATGGCTGAGGATTTGTCATAATTTATAAAACTGTCTGGTAGTTTTGATATATCTGTTAACTTGTTTTAATTATGAGGGGCTTTCAAGCCCTCAGGGGCCCCTTTTCATATCATCTGGTTGGCCATGATACTCCTGCAGCATGTTCTAGGATGCCTGCTCATTTCACGCAGAGTACTGGCCAGGTGTCTCACTGTGTATGGAGAATACACTGGAGAACATACCTAGCACTGTTCTGCATGAAGGATAATCTGTAATGACACGCAACCTGTCTTTCAGGGAAGCTTCTCTGTATTAGTGGCTGTTAGAGGAACCTTTGATGACCCTTCAAGGAATCTCAGGTTCCCTAGGGCACAGTCTAAAAAGCTGAGTGGTTCAGATATACTTGCTAATTATAAGCATTAATCAAGAACAACGGGCAGTCTAAAATAAAGAAGTATCCTTATCTGGATTTATCTTGCCTAATAGAAAAGCATATATACTCCAGTTTACACAGAAGGATACGAAAGCCTGAACTTCAAAGACCACTCAGCTAGCATTTTACTGACCACTTCTGGCATGCCTAGCTGATCTGGAGGCCTCTCAGATTTCTGCTCTTACTTACTAAGCTGCCCAGTTTTCTTCACAAGAGAAGTATATGTTAGTGTATTGTATGAGTGTTATTCCTGTTCTTGCCAAAATAGTGTAGCACGTTGTTGAAAAACCTGCTTGCAAACTGCTCAATAACTGCCACTCAGGCTGGTTTTATAAGAAACGTTAGGATCTTGAATGCCTGGGGAAGGTTCCCCCCCCTCCAGATTGTCTTGCAATTGGATCCATTTACCTTGTTTGCATTGACAAGGCCATAGGACGAACACTGCTTTATTTACATATGCTGTCATTATGCTTTGAGAAATGGAAATTTATTGAAACCTCAGAATGTATATTGTTATAATTGCAGCTCTTTTGTTTCAGTACAAAATGGTTCTCTTCACCAAAAGAATACAGTTCATGACAACGATTTTGAGCCTTACCTTTCTGGACAGTCAAATCAGGTTAGTAATTGCTACTGGAAAATGATCTGATTTTTTAAAAAAATAGCTTTTAGGGAGTGTAGTTCATCAGGAAGTTAGGCAGCTTTTTTAAGAAAAAAAAAAAAACCTTTTTCCTGTATTGTGGAGCTGAAACTGGTGCTGCACTCCATCTGATTTCAGGTAACCAGCCCACCACTGGCTCAGATAGGTCAGTATGACTACCTGCCACCTTAGAATGTTGTGGATTTTGTTTTAAAATCCTTTATTAAGTAAAGGTCAATCTCTGGTTCCGATCAGTTAATGTTCAGGATGCTAATATCTTAAAATGCTTGAAATAAATACATTTTCATCTACAGGGAATTCTTTTAGTTAGGCATCAGCCAAAAAAAACAAAAACTAGCTTCTGAAAAGCTCATGTTCCAGAGTTACCTGCGGAAGGGAGAGGGTGTGGAAGAAAGCCAGAACTGTAGACTTGCTTGCCTGCTGTGTTTCTCCCCAAGGAGTTTTGGAATACAATTCACATTAGGATTAGGCAGCATGTCAAATGGTCAGTGCTGATTGGGGCTTAAGCATATAATTCCCTTGCCCCCCAGCAGCCTCAGGAATGTGATTTGGAGTGTGGGTGGAGAAAGCTTCACCCCTCCTTCCCACCCCACCCCTCACAGTGTTGATCCTTTCGCAAAATAAAAAGCTGCCAGGAATTCCATCCTGAAACTTTGACATCACATGTAGTTTGACCTTTGGTCACATAGATCAAGCACTGAGTACACTTTGAGTATAAATAGCCTGCCTTCACCCTCCCCCCCTTAAGGGAAATGAGCTCCTTCGTACTCTTGGGTGTTAAACTACTGTAGATGAACTAGCTAATGTAAGTCTTACTGAAAAGGTTGGCCCAACTTTTCTCATTCTCTTTGATCTTGATGAATATGTATGTATCTCAGTAATAGTTCTGGCTGTAGACCTTTTCAGCAATTTCCAGCTTCTGGAATGATTTACGTTTTTAACCAATTTCATCCTTGTGATAGTCCTGTGTGGGAATAATTTCTCTGTAAAGGCTTCCCATTGGCCTTCATAGCCACCATGAGACTTCATCCTGAATTGCGCTCATTCAGGCCCAGGTGTCCTACTTTCAGCATAGTATGCTAGTTCTTTTTATATGGTATCTTAGGTGACACAATGTGGAGCAGCTGTGGACCCTTTTATTTAAATCATTCTCTTCAGGATTAGAAACTGAGCATGTGTTTCCTTCTTTGTCAGGTTGAGTATGACTTGGGGAATGTTGTCTTACCCAGTAAAGTAATGTGTGTGATGCAGTTTGCTTGTCAGCTGAAATTACTCCTAGAGTTGAACTGAGCAGTGTCTTTCTGCCACTGGAACAGACAGAACTGGTGAAAGGGACTTCCCAGCCCTGCTCCTGCATCTCTCAGCAATGCTTCAGAAACTGGGGAGGCTCCTTAAAACTGGGACTGGGCTGAATACTGGAGGGCTTTGGGGCTGGGGAGGGAAGGTTACTTTCCGGCAACTTGGGCATGCCGTAATAGGACCCTTTCCACTGTATGCTAATGTCACACTGTACTTCAGATGATAATGGAGAGAGATGGATGGGGATAGTTGAATGCAGCAGCTGTTGCTTCATTACACTGTGTTGGACTAGGTTATCTTCAGATCTTCTGTGCTAAACCTTTAGCTTTCTAACTAATCTATTTTTCCCAAAAATGGATTAAATAGACCTTCCTCAGCCTGGTGCTCTCCAGAGGCTTTGGCCTACAACATTTTGTCATTTCTGACAGTGGACAAACAGCCTTTGGAGCAGACCAAAGGCCTGTCCAGACCAGTGTTCTGTTCTTACATTGGTCAGCCTGGCCTCTCATGTGCTGCAGCAACTCGTACGCAGAGGCAAACTGCCTCCAGTACTGGAGGTAATGCATAGCTGACCTACCCAGTAACCATTTTTGTTGTGAGCCGCCCCGATTTTGTTGTGAGCCGCCCCAAGGCTTTGTTGCGATGGGGGCGGCATGGAAATGTTTTAAAATGATATGTCTGCATTTTAGTAGATCTCCAAATACCTGTGATTGATATAGCTGCATTTTTCTAATTCACATGGCTCTATAGTTATCTTGGATCATGATGTGTAGTGCTTTTCAATGTAGACTTCCATATATCAAGAATTCCATAGTCTGAATCATTTGTGTGCCAAGCTTTGAATCATTCCTCAGTGTAAATTGACCCAAGCCACTCCTGTGGGGAACGGTAACTTGGAAGAAGTTCAGTAAGACCTGGCACTCATCATTAATGTGTGTCACAGTTCTTCCATGCAATGCATATTAGATTTCTACTGGTTGTTGGTGAGGCAGTGACTGCCAATAAGAATCTGGTCACTTTTTCTGCAGAAAGCTCCTTGTGTTGCACTGCATACATATGGGCCATCTTATCAGGGTGGACTGATAACTAAATTGAAAAGGTAAATTGCCAGGCTAAGATTGTGATTCCAGAGGCTTCAGTGCTGTTGACTGTATTCTAAAACATAGAATTCCATGTAAAAGGAAAAAATGCTAAAATGAAGATAGGATTGGCCTTGGAGGGGAACAGAAAGGCAAAGGAAGACCCCCAGACCCTGCCATACTGGTTACAACCCTGATTACCATTAACAACATGAATGTACATACCATATTTTTCCGTCTATAAGACGCCCCCATGTATAGGACGCCCCCCACTTTTCCTACCCAGCTCCAGCGAACAAGCTGCCCTGCGCACGCCGCTTCGCCGGCCCCCGCGTGTGCGCACTGCTCCCCGCCTGTGCTCACTGCCTTTGTGCGCCGCCACGCCCCCACCTGTGCTCATTGCCCACCGCACACCAGTCCCCCCCCCGTGCGCTCATGGCTGTCCCCCCTCATGTATAAGACACACCTTTTTAAGTAAATGTTTTAAAGAAAAAGTAGCATCTTATACACAGAAAAATACGGTAGAACATAGACACAATTAGATGTGCTTTAGAAATTACTTCCCTGTTATATGGTTTTAAAAATTTGAACCTATAAAAAACTATATGTGCTCTCTGTGTGTACATATTATCTTACTATATCACATATCCCATTTTATCAGTGTTTTATACTGTTGGTTGTTGGCATACATTGCATTTTGTGGCTGCTTCTGAAATGCAATGGGTTCGCTGCATAATTTCTTACCTCCTGGTGCAAGCTGAGCAAAATAGCTTTATAGTTTACCAGAAAGGGGACCCTGCTTTATCCTGCTTGCTCAATGTGGAAACTTTAGACATTAGGTTACAATTATTTTGGAATGCTTCGGAGGTCAGAAATACTATAGGTTGAACACCTGCTAGCTTAAATCACTTTTAATTGTGATCATTTCTAATTGGAATAGAGTGTTGTTGTTTTTCCAAGTTTATATTGTCTACATAATTTGGAAAGGTATGAATATGTTTACCCTCTCATGTGATGTATGTCATCTTAAGGAAAGCTAATGTGTAAAAATGCAATAATGGATTTAGAGAATGTTCCTATATCCTTTCACAATTTTTTTCCTCAGTGCAAGAATAAAACACACCTTTTTTTGTCCTAAAATCTGGTAGTTTTCACAATAAAAATGGGTTGTTGGCTGAAGGGGCCTCATGGTTTTGAGCAGGATAAACCAGAGGGCCATGGTAGATAGCACTATTCTAAATAAAGTAACTCTAGTAGGGTGGGACTGGCCTGGGAGGGAAAAAGAAGGAGGGGGGAGCTGGACTTTGAGAAGAGAGATGAAGATAAGTTGGCATTGCAGCTGTGTTATGGAACATTGCAAGGGTGTGGAAGCAAAGGCAGCTTAGAGGATAAGGGAAACAAGTGAGTTTAAAGGAAGATGACTTAGTGTTAAGAGGGAACTGCAAGAAATTAGAAAAGGCATGAAACAGGGTGGATAAGAATCAATGCTTTAAAAAATACAGTAACAAATCAGTTTATTTAAATTGGATTTTTTAATAAAATGCCTTTTGAGGAAAGATCTATCTAAAGATAGTTTTCTGTTTATGATATATTATAGTCCAACTGTTATTCATCATGAAATAATTAGTTTTTAATTATGTAACGTTTAAATTTTTTGGTAAATGAATTCCATTAATCCATTTACAATGCCATTCTCTTCTAGAGGTTTCTATAAGATTATTGGGCAATCTTTCTAACTTAAAGATATTGTCACAGATGCTTGGTTTACAGTTCTCAGAACTGTGAATTTATGTCTACAGAGATTGCATGGACATTCTGCACAGCAAAAATGTTATGAAATAAACATACAGAGTTGAGAAAAAAACCTTAATCCCATTGTTCCTTTGCAAATCTATGTACACAGAATCATCCCCTTGCCTCTGAAATGTGAAGCTTCCAAAAAAAAAAAAAAAAAAAGAAGCAACTTGTTGGGAGTGGAATAGATTTGCACAAGAAGTTAAGTTTGAGGAGGGAGGGGCAAGCAGTAAAATAAAAGTAAAACCCTTTGAGCAGAATACTCCACAAGTCTTTGAGTCTTTTTGTGTGTAGCCTGAGGTTTATCACATTATTCTTTCCCTGGAGGAAAAATTCTGTAATGGCAGCAGGCCATAAAAGAGACCTAGTTTGGGAATATGTTAATAACGGTCCTCTACGTATGGGCAAGGCATGCATGCAAATTATGCAGAAAACCATGATTTAAATCTAGTCTTATTGGTGACTGATTTAAATCGATCTGATTTAAATCATATCTACCCTGAGGCAGAATATGGTGGGTTGCAGTATATGACCAAAATACCTGGCTAGACAGACAGTTAGGGCAACAGAATTCGGGGTAGGTAAGATGACTGAAGAATGTTAGTGGAAATAGCTGGTGTATGGACTAGAGTTGTGAGAATGAATTTTTATAAAAGGTCAGAATTTACAAAGTTATGTAGGAAGTAGTAGCATGGTTTGGTAACTAAATCTGAGGTGGAAGAGCAGAGGGTACAAGTTTCACAGGGAGGTAAATGGGACTCTCAGTGGAGACGGATTTGTATTAAAAATTTCTTCCTAGCATTTTTGATGGTTTACCTAGAAGACTGAATTTTATTTCAAACAAGACAGTTTTTTTAGAAGAATCCTTTTTTAATTAATATTTTGCAATATGGCTGAATAATGTTGGTGTACTGTTTGAGAACATTTAAAGGACTCTGGGATTCCATATTACGGCATTGCAGCCTTTAAATGTAGCTTAAGCATAGCTCTCTGGTTACCAAAGTTAGAGGAGATTTAAGAGATGCCCAGTGAAAGTCTCCATGTCTTTGAGGGTTAACCTATGAAATGCTCTGTTATCTAAGAAATAAATTTTAGTCTAACTGTTAAAAAGCAATTATTAAAATGCTATGCATGTGGTAGTGACTGCAGAGGATTTGAGCTTTTTAAAAGCATACTTTCTGATTCGAATAGCATCACAAATCTCTGACTTCTTGTTTTTAACAGAACAACAGCTATCCATCAATGACAGATCCCTACCTGTCCAGTTATTATCCGCCTTCTATTGGCTTTCCCTACTCTCTCAGTGAAGCACCATGGTCAACTGGAGGAGACCCTCCTATCCCATACCTCACTACTTATGGACAACTCAGTAACGGTGACCACCATTTCATGCATGATGCTGTGTTTGGACAGCCAGGTGGACTGGGGAACAGCATCTACCCACACAGATTTAACTTTTTCCCGGAAAATCCGCCTTTCTCCGCATGGGGAACGAGTGGGTCTCAAGGGCAGCAGACTCAGAATTCTGCCTATGGAAGTAGCTACAGCTACCCACCCAGCTCTCTGGGTGGTACCATTGTGGATGGGCAGACTGGATTCCACAGTGAGACTTTAAATAAAGCTCCCGGGATGAACAGCATTGAACAAGGAATGGTTGGACTGAAAATTGGAGGGGATGTTACAACGTCTGCAGTGAAAACGGTAGGGTCAGTGGCGAACAGTGCTGGGATGACAGGCACTTTGTCTGGCAATGGTGGCTCAAGTATAAACCTGCCTGTTTCCAAGCCAACTTCTTGGGCTGCTATTGCCAGCAAACCTGCAAAACCTCAGCCCAAGATGAAAGCAAAAAGTGGGCCTGTAATAGGTGGGGCTTTACCTCCACCTCCCATTAAGCATAACATGGACATAGGCACGTGGGATAATAAAGGTCCAGTGGCCAAAGTCCCAACTCCTCAGCAGATCCCTTCTCCTCAGTCAGTCCCACAGCCACAAATTATTCAGCCTATTCCTGCCCAGCCACCTCCGCTGACCCAGCTGCCATATCAGAACCCTCAGCCGCCGCCGCCGCCACCACAGAACCGGTGGGTGGCGCCGCGCAACAGAAATGCAGCTTTTGGTCAAAGTGCAGGAACTGGTAATGAGAGCAACTCGCCTGGCGCTACCCCAGCTAACTCCATCCCAAGTGGCGAATCCCATCCTGTCCTTGAAAAACTGAAAGCAGCACACAGTTACAACCCTAAGGATTTTGAGTGGAACCTTAAAAATGGGCGTGTATTCATAATAAAGAGCTATTCCGAGGATGACATTCATCGTTCCATCAAATACTCCATTTGGTGTAGCACAGAACACGGCAACAAGCGTTTGGACAGTGCTTTCCGCTCTATGAATAGCAAGGGGCCGGTCTACTTGCTCTTCAGTGTCAATGGCAGTGGGCATTTTTGCGGGGTGGCGGAGATGAAGTCATCGGTGGACTATGGCACCAGTGCTGGGGTCTGGTCTCAGGACAAATGGAAGGGGAAGTTCGATGTCAAGTGGATCTTCGTGAAAGATGTGCCCAACAATCAGCTCCGACATATCAGGCTGGAGAACAATGACAACAAACCCGTTACAAACTCCCGTGATACTCAGGAGGTGCCCTTAGAAAAAGCAAAGCAAGTGCTTAAAATTATTGCTACATACAAGCATACCACCTCCATCTTTGATGACTTTTCTCATTATGAAAAGCGCCAGGAGGAGGAAGAGGTGGTGAGAAAGGTAAACTGGCTTTGGAATATTTTATTAAATGGGGGAAGGAAATACTGGATGGTGGGTGAGTCTAAGGGTGCCTGTTTTATTCTTTAGAAGCCTGTACTTGAAATGTGATGGTGATAGCAGTGGCATCTATACCCCACCTTCCTTTGGAAGTAGCCTTATGCGGAACCCTATGTCTGAGTTGTTCTTTTTTGGACTGTAGATTTAAGGTGCAGACTGTCAGCAACCACACATGTAACTATTTGTAATTTAAATAGCTTGGATGGGTCTGAGCCTTCAAAGGTGGCCTAGATTCATAGGTGTGTTGATGAAGGTGTAGGGTGTTCTGCTCCAGGTCCTGGAAGAACTGAGGGTGAAATCCAAACCCACCAGCTCTCCCTGTATTGAACAGTAAGTGCTTCTGTTTGCACGTGGGAAGAGGCAGACATTCTTATTGCAGCCTCTTGTGACTTCTCTTCTGCTCTGGGGAGCCCCTGGTCTTTGGCAGTCCATGCGGAGATGTTACTTTAAGGAAGACCTGGAAAGGTTCCATGAGCCAGTGAAGCAGCTGCTTATACCAGTTTGGATCTTGACCTAAATTTAGCAAAGTGGACTTCTTTATCAGTACACACTCAGCAAGTGCACCAACTTTACAAATAGTTGCAACTAATCATTTGTAGCAATATGTAACAGCCCAGGGAGACTGAAAATCCTGGCACCTAGAACTTTAAAGAAAGCATACACAGCTGCACAATTTTCAGGAAATAAGAAAGAAAGCACCAGAATGGTGGGAGTCAACTGAAAATGGGTTTTATGTCCGAAGTAAACCTTTACTGTTATAATACATGCCCATTTAGTGCAGTCACAGTCCAGCAGTCATATAAATCTGGAAAGTAAAATACACTAAAATGTTTTAAATGTTACAAAATGAAATTTGCTAATGCTACTAGTAAGACAAGAGATAAGAGATGCTCATGGATTTATGGAAGTCAAGAATGGAGTAGGAGAATTGGAGGGTGTGATACAAGCAAAATGTTAGAAGTGAGAATAAACTGGTCATGCAAAGTAGACGGTACCCTTCCTTAGCTTCACTCCAGAAGATAGTCTTGTACACACATCCAGGAAACCAGAGCAAATGTTTTGAGCTGCTCTACTTGCACCTTCTCCTACTTGACTAAGTGGAAGCAGTTTCTCAGGTGTCATGTTGATTCTCATTAAAGCTTGTAGTCAAAAAATTACAGAGAAATCTGAGAATGTGATAGCTATATAATGCTGTCCAAGAAGAACATTAAGTTGGAAGTTTCTGCCCTTTTGTCCAGGGTCAATTGTTACCTGAAATGCTTCCATCTCATAGTTCCCTGAGGGCAGAGGATAATGTACTGTTTCTCAAAGTGAAGCTTTCCATAGCATCACTTGTTTTCATACTAAATTATAAAACAAAATTACTTTGTCCAATGCTACAATAATAATTTACCTTAATATTAAGGAAATGTCAGGTTTGGTTTCATGAATAGTGCTTGGAGGTACATCAGTGTCATTTTACGTTCCCCTTAAATCAGGCTAATTTTAAGCATCCAGAAATAAGGGCTTAGGCCAGTGTTTAATTTGCTTTAATTTAAAGCATACTTGTAGTTCAGTCAAGATGCTTGGGCCACGGTCCAAAGAAATAATGTGTGTGAGTGAGATTACCGGTGCTACTTGAGTGATAGCTTTGAAGCTGTTCCTCCATAATAAGCAAGTGCGTGTTCTGTCTGTTTGGGTGTAGGGCTGCTTAGCCAATCCCCAAACCGGGCGCTGTAGTTGTCTCCTATAGTATGAACAACAGGCTGGTTTAAGAGGAGCAGCTTTTGGAAAACCTAAAACTTGGAATATTTCCATAGTGGTAACTGCTTTTGGGATGCCCCTGAGTTTCAAAGAGGACTTGCAATGATGCAGTCTGGTAGGAGGTAGGATTAGTAATGACGAAATGCAGCCATTAGCAGAATGATGCCACTCTTGTAACTTTTCCGACGGCATGTTGGCTAACACAATATTTGGGACAGTTCGTGGAACACCTAGTGCAAAGACTTGTGTAGCGCATTGTGCAGAACAGTTTGTTCAAGGACTTCTTGAACACATTTTGTGCGGAAGCTTGCGCACTAGGTTGCAAAGGCACAAGGTAATTGAGTGTGGCACTTGTACAAGGACGAAAACGGGGGTTCTGCAAGAAGTGAAAGCCTAGCAGGATTGTATCACTGGATGCAAATCTTAATGGGAAATTCTGCTGCTCCACAGGGAGGCTTCTGTGTCCATTGGACAGCTAGAGTGAATCAGACATAGAGAGAATTGCATGCCCTGTTCCTTCAACTTTGCTTCATGGCCATTCATCTTAAGATTGGCACAAGCGTTTTAATAGGTGTTTTACATTCTAATTGGATGTTTTTCTCTTTACAGGAACGTCAGAATCGAAATAAACAATAAGAATAAACATATATATGGTTTGCTATAAATATATATATACTAGAACTGATATTAAATTTGATTATGAAAAATTGAATCTTTTTAAAAAGTACTCTGGTGCTGTATTCCAGCATCAGGAGACTGTAAAGCTTTCAGCTCCAATATCTTTTTGTGCAGGGGAAATTAAATACTTGCATCTTTTAAGTACACTGTAGTGTGTTTTTATTTTCTTGTTTTTGCCCAGGTGAATATGCATTAATTTGTACCTTTTCTATGTAAAATGGTGTAGAATCCATTAATAAAGGTGTGTTCTGTTTTTTAATTTTTTAAGTTGTAAACAAGTTAATCTGTAATTGAATATTCTGAAAATATTAGTATTCCCAAAGACTTCTTAGAACTTACTTCAGCACAAATTATGTTTCTAATCTGAAAAGTCACCATAATTTTATATTTATGTGCTACAGATCCTCTTGTCTCACCATCCCTACAATTTCCTTGATTCTCTATGGCAAGCATAAAAACAAGTTGATTTTTGTTGTTGGTGTCCTTTTAAGTTAGTTTGGAGAAATAACCCATATCAAAAGCATTGACTTCAATATGGCTAAGCTTGGTTCACGTTGTATAGTTCACTTTTTCAGTTTCTGTTATTCTTGGGGGGTGGGGGCTAACGAAAAGGCCCAGATTCACAAGGATCACTTCACATGCAAGTGCAAAAATGGAAACCGCACAAGCACAATTGTGCATTTGCTGTTACTTTTATTAGACCTTGCATATGAAATATTCCTCATGGATTATACATTATAATGTCTCAAAATGGCTTCCTTATTTGGTGAACTAGTGCTTTTTAGTGGGGATTTGCGATACATCATATTCTGCAAGAAAAAGGTGAGCCATTTTGCTCTCTGCCAGCAGTTTTGTTTTGTAGCTTTTAATGATTTACATAATGGGTTCATAATTGTAGGGGCTTGGGGCAGTGTGGCTTTTAAAAGATTTTTTCCAGCTTTCCAATAATGCCATTACACACCTTGTTTTTAATCTGTCCCCTTTTTTCTTTCTTCATCTCTCCCCCACCTTAAAATGCCACTTAAATTTTTTACAGATAATGGTGAGCTTTAATATAGAATCTTAGTACAGACTCATATGATGGATTATGCTTCAGATGTTTATAATTGACTGTGTGTGTCTATTTTTTTCTGTTGGATGAGTAAAAACAACTGTTTTAAGAAACGGAATTTGCTGTCATGTTTTTGTGGAATGAGAGAGCTGTCGAAGAACTGGCCATCAACCGGAGTTTCCAAATTTAGCATGAATTCTTGGTGCCCATGCCTGTTGCTCTAGCACACCGAATCTGCACGTGTTTATTGTAGAGGATCTTTTACTTATATTAGAAAGCAAATATCTTCTGAAAACTATTTACTCAAGAGGACCTCCAATTTAAATGAAAGTTTAAGCTGTATCATTTAGACTTGTATTTAGAATCTATAGCTTTGTCTCTGGACTGTTGCTTCTGATGTAAGAAGTGATGGGGCAGCATCAGATTAACTTTTCCTCTAGGAGAATACAAGCCTTAATAAATAATACCTACTTAGCAAGTGTGATGTCATCTCATTTTTTTCCCTTAGCACCTGGGCCCCTGGGCAACTTCCGCTCTCACCCGGTCTCCACCAAGAGATGCTGGCAAAAGGACCTGATGGGAATGGCCTTGTAGAGGCTGCTTTGAGGGTTGGCGGCTACTGGCTTGGCCTTCTTGATGGACCCACGACTATTATAGTCCTCAGTGAGTGCTTTCCCTAGTGCCTTGCTCCCAGGGGAAAGCTGCAATGAAAGTGAGTAAGGTTGAGAGGAAGAGGTACTTTCTAGGTTGCTCTTCGCTAGCTGGAGCAAGGAACAGCCTCTCCCTTTGGGCTCCATTACGCTGCTCCTGGTTGTATAGAGGTATGCATGCAAAGTCTGTGTGTAACTCAGAACTACTGGGGGAGTGCATCGGAAAAATAACTTTGGTTCTATCTTACTGTCTTTAAAATTGGGTACATCATTTGCCTAGAGCCCTTTTTTAGACCTTTTCAGTTTAATAATGGCTTTTGTTCTTCAGTAGAAGAAAATGCTATCTCTAGGAGGGCTGATTCCTTTTTTGCAGTCATGCACTACAGTGTAAACAGTTGTTTAAACTGTGGTACATTCGTCAGTTCAGTTAATTCTGTTCCCTATGTATCTGTACTAGCCAGCAGCTGGGAAAGTGAGATCCATAGGGGACCCATCCAGAACCCTGTCAGCTGGCAGGAGAGTGGGAGAAGATAGTCCTCCTCCTCCCTCGTTCAGCTAGCGTTTGCTTTTAAAGCTTCCGTTGAAACAGTGGAAAGAAAGGAATAAATGTGGCACCTCCGACACTGGAGCAGTGTAAGTGGGGAGGTTGGGGGAACAGGAGGGATGTGTTGGTCCCAGGCTTCCTTGCAGCTGCCCTCGTGCATCCTGTTAGCCCCTCTTCCACCGGTGGAGCACCAGAAACGGGGCAATGGTGGGGGAGGTTTTTGCCATTACATTGATTCCCATGGCAAACCTTCACCCAAAGGGAATGCTTTCCCAGGCACTGCAACACTGCACCTTTAGCTGATGGATCCTTCAAGCCAATTAAAGGTTGCACCTCTCCTTACCAGTGTATAACTTTAGGATTTTATTTCAAAACAGTTTGGGTAATTGTCTTCTCTCCAGCTTGTGTTGAACAGCCTACCACTGAGTCCCTGTTTTCCTTTTTGGAAACTTTCCAGCATCTGTTGGTGAAATATTACTTGGAAGTAATGAGCCTGTGGCAGGACTCTATCATGACTATTGAATGCTCTATAGTTTTAAAATAAAAATATCTATGGAAAACTGGTTTGTCAAAAGGTTTTTGGCCTGGGCACTGTTGCATTACTTGTTTTTACCTGGGGGGTGGGGGGGGGGGGCAGAGTGTGAAGAAGCCTTAATTCCTTAGTCCCTTTTCCTAACTTAAAGAAGTACAGCTTGGACACTGGTTTACTGCCTTGGGTATAACTGAACTCTGACCCCTTTCTAAGCCATGTGCTGGCAGCAAAGTAGTCCCCAGGCTAAAAAAATGCAGTTAATCTCACAGTAGCACTACAAGTCAGACAGGAGCAATTTTCCTACACCCTTTCCAAGAATCTATTTTCCTAAAGGTCAAATATTTTCTCCTTGTGAAATGATTAAAAAGAACATATTTCTGGCTTCAGGTATGAATTAAGTGAAATGTGTGCATAGGTTTCAAGGGACTATATGAAGAAGGCTGCTTCTGGGTCAGCTCTGCCATTTTCATTCTGTAATTCAGCTTTACACATGGGCTGGGGGAGGCAAGAGTCTAGTCCTTATGATAATATGAAAGAATTACATACTGAAGAACATGCTGCCGTTGGGACCTCTTTCCACCACTTCTCCGCTGTTCCATGCTGATGATTTCTGTATAAAATTTGACTTTCTTCTGTAAAACCTTGGAATTGTTCTTACCAGGATCCTATTTCTGCAAATCCGCTTTTGTTTAACATAGTCAAAAGTAGAGCTGATACCAATTCTACATAAATTACCCAGAAATATTTGGTATCCAGTATTGACATTTGCTTTTATGGTTCTAGTCAACAGTTCTGCAATATTGCAGTAGAACAAAGTGGATTCTTACAACAGAACAGAGCTTTGTTCAGTAGCCAATCAAAACAGTTCTGAATTTCTGTATTAAAGTGTCAAGATCCAAATCCAGTGTACAATCTCTGACCATTTCAAAACGTGAAATATTCTGGGTTGTTTGCAGCTTGGCTGTCTGCTTCGGTTGCATTTGGCTGCTTAAGGTTGTCTCTGTTTTAATTAATAATGAATACACAAGATGTTTGCGCTTAGAAACAAACTAAAATGATTAGAGTCTTCCTCCCGACTGCGGGTGAGCTCTGAGGTGAGAGGGTTTTGTGTCAGAGGACCAGTCAGGCTGGTAGAAAAAGTCTTGTGCTTCTCTCCTACATGGCACACGTGTTCTTACTGCTGCCTCAGTGCAAAAGAAGATCTTGGGTCCTGGAATAGTTGCTGGATGACCACGCTATCATTTTTGCATCTCCTGCTCCAGCCACAGTGCGAGCTCCTTAACACTGTAGCTGCAATGAAATGAGATTCTCTTGAGTTGCTGCACGATTGTAGGGAGCAAAGCCAGAGCAGGGGGCCAAATGCACCTCCCTATGCAAAGTAGGCACACAGAGGTGAGATCATTTTCAAAGGGCCTCTGGGAAGACAGCTGCTTTCACCTCTGGAAGTACCACTGCATCTCTTTTGACTTTGAATATTTCCTCAAATGCCGTAACTTCAATTTGCAGTGTTAGAAATGGTTGGGGTTTTTAATGAACATGCAATCCATGACATACGCACCTGGCACTTTGCACCCTGTTGATTGTATTTCTGAAAATACATAGGATTGCATTCTAAAGAGCGTTTGCAGCATCTGCCTGCCCTGAAACAGTGCTGTCCTCAGAAAACCTTGTAATCTTTGAATTTCAAAGGCAGGAACATGAACTGGCTGCAGCCAGTACTTTAAAACACCCCTGAAAAGGTCTCATTCAGAAAGGAAGTATTTTGGAAGAAGCTTCCCTCCGACAGTGGTTTTGTTAACTTTTTTCTATTTCAGGGCTGAAAGGAAGGGGAGCAGAGTTGCTATTCCTTTTTTTTCTTTGTTTCTGAGCGTCCACGTCTATTGCCTCTTCAAAGCAATGTCAAGATATTCTGCATCTACATGTGTTAGTGCTTTACTGCAATTTCTTTTGTAGGCATATTGGTCAAACACCCAGAAAGGATGCAATTCTGTGCAGAAAAACATCTGGAGAGAGCAGGGAGGGGGTGCTGTGGGGAGGCAGAGGGAGAGGAAAGGGGGGCTGGCTGGCTGGCTGCGGGTAACTACTGGTATTTCAATGCACTGGCTGGCCACTTGAGCTAATACCTGAGAGGGTCTGGGGGCTAGCAGAAATTCTGGGCAACCTTGCCCTTTTTGCCTTTGGCTCTGCCCTCCTCTACCCTGTGGCCCCCTAGAACAAATGGAACATGGCCCTCGGGCTGACAGATTCTGCACCCCTGCTTTGACTGCATCCCTCCAAGAAAGAGAAGCTTTTGCACAGCCCACCCCTATGCCAGCTCTTGATCACAGGGCTAAACCAGGCCTGGCCACAGTTTCAATTTCTAGGCTGCAGGCAGGGTAGAAAAATACAGTTTTAAGAAGACTTGTTTTCTAACCTGTTGGAGGGACCCTTTACCTGGCACGTTCCCATGGCAACAGATTACTGCTAAAAATGTTTGCCACAGCCATGCCCAATTATCATGTAACAGTTAAATCAATAGGGGTCAATAATGCTGCTTGCATTAAACTAGCCAGCTTTGTTGGGATGGCATGTATGTGCTTTTGTGTATCTGTTCTCTTGCTGCCTCGCCAAGGTCTCCTGCCATTCTAATTTGTTTTCTACCTGGGATGCGTATCCTGGGCAGAACTGGAGCAGCTCAATTGAGGTATTAAAGGGGAGCGGGCATAAGAGAACTGCAGGAAAGATGCAAAGAAATACAGAAGGGAAAACATTTGAATATGTATTTGGCAGTTTCAGTAGAGGGGAGACTATGCTCCATGACTTAAAAAAATACACCAAGGAACTACAAGTGCAGCACCAAGAAATGCTGATTTTTGCAATCTTTACACAAATGATGGACTGTGGATGATTTCCCCTATTTTGTATAATCTATTCTTCAGTCATTCATGTCAGTTATTTCTGATGGACAGGCTGAGAAGACATTACTTATGTAGCTGAAGCAGCATGATCCATGCGCATGAAGGAGCTCTCTGCAGATGGAAGGGACTGTGGAAGGGCAAACATTATTTAGGAAAAAGAGCTTAAAGGTGTGGGGAGAAAACCCCTAAAACAGCCTACAGGGGATTTTTGGGCTTAGCGTGGCTATGGAATGCTGCCTGAATTGGGGATGGTGGTGGAAGAGAGAAACCAAGCCAACAAGCTCTTGGGAGGTGTCCTGCTTTGCCTTGGGTTCAAAGAAAAACAGCATTGGAAAACTTGAGTGTATCTCAAGCTGGCTGGAGCTGGGGGTCAGACTAGATAGCCCGTGAGACCCCTTCTGACTTGCTCTGTTTCTATGTTTCTCATTGGCGTACATGGGCAATGAACAGGCAGCAATAGCATTTTTACTTTAAGTCAGAACAGGTACTGTATTTTTCGCTCTATAAGATGCACCTGACCATAAGATGCACCTAGTTTTTAGAGGAGGGATCCATGGAAAGCTTCCTGATAATCACAGGCACATTCCCCATCACTTCCCCATGGGCTTCATTAAAAGATGGGTTGCCATTTGAAAACACACACCGACCTGTGATTAACAGCTCTCACCTGCGCCGGAGGAGGGGGGCGGGGCAGGGCGTGCTGAGCGCGTGCCGGCCAGGTGGGGCCACGTGGTGCAGGCGGCCGGCAGCGTCCCGGGCGTCAGGCGCACACACATTCGCTCTATAAGACGCACAGACATTTCCCCTTACTTTTGAGGGGGGGAAAAGTGCGTCTTATAGAGCGAAAAATACGGT